GGGCCGACCGTTGAATACCCTACAACACTACAATAAACGATACAGTTTATATAGGCGAGATACTCGAAAGAATTCCACAAGATATTGTGACAAATAATAAAAGAGAACCATCAGGTTTCGTTCTCTAATTTTCGAATAATAGCAACTTAAACTAATTTGCTCATTTCCAATTTATTGGTAGATGTTGCACGTAAATGGTCTTCCTAGATCTGGAACCAATATTTCCCAAAGACCTATAATCTCTCAGAAGTGGCAAAAGATTAACATTTATTATTGGTTTTTGACTGAAACGCATCTATATGAGATACAGACATATGACTATATTCTTCAACGAAATCAGCGTTACTGAAATAGCCAGAAGTGGGTCTTTCCTGTATTTGTGAATTCTCCAAAATGTCTCTGGAATGGACATTTTTGTATTTTGTCTACAAAAGTTGGCAAACTCCTTCACTCATAGAATATTTTTGGATGGCCATTCAAAACTTCTTGGCTTTTGCAATGTCCGGTAATCCCCATTCAAATGTGCTTGAGGATCGGGCGATAATTACGACCTGCTGACAATTTTGCAGTTTTTTGGTCCATTTCAACCGCCAAAAAGAGTAGGCTTCTATTCTGACCCTCATCTTATCCTCATGGAAAATTTCGTAAGGATCGGGCCATAAATGCGATCTGTATATGATATCCTGATATCCTAACTACTTAGTTTTGTTAGCTGTAGAAATATTACCAAATGTTTAATTCAAAATGGAAATATGCCAAAAATATGACAAAATTGAAAAAATATGAAAAAATATTACAAAATCGATATTTTCATCTGCCAAGAGGCCAATCTGAATTAATGAGAACTGTCGAAATCAGTTCAGCCGTTCTCGACATATATGAGATCTTTCAAGCATATCTTCTTTGATAGACATATGTATATATCGCACATATTTTGCTATATATTCGATTTTTTGGATCTTAACATCAATGTAAAAATCAGAAGTAACCTTGTCATTGCTTTGTGATTTCGCCGGGATTTAAAATATTCGCGGTTTAATGAAAAATTTTGAATTTTTTCAACAAAAAAGATATGGTCTATTTTACCCGCTAAATATTATCCGATGACCACCCACTTCCACTTCTTCCCCGCCCTAAACTCTAGCTACATGCGAAATTCCGCGTCGATTGGTCTATAATTGCGACCTGTATAGCTACTGCAAAATCGGACATTTTTTCAGTATTTGGTCCATTTCAACCCCTAAACATTTGGCGATCATCTCCAAAAGAAATAGGGTTCTATTCTGACATTAACCCCACCTACATTTTAAATTTCGTGAAGATCGGGCCAAAATTGCGACCTGTAGAGTGATTACAAATTAACATGGACAGACGGACGGACGGACATACATAGCTAGATCGACTCAGCTCGGCGAGCTAGGAAGATCCACATATACTTTCCTATATGGGAAACCAATATTTCGAGGTGTTAAATAAATTCTGGCCCAATCAAACTCATTCTGGCCCAATCAAACACATAGTGTTGTAGGGTATAAAAACTTTTTCTGGGAGATCTCCAAAAAGCCTCTAATTTGGTATATATACATTTATGAATTGTTTATAATAGATGTCAAATCGATTTTTAAATAGATATGTTAAAAGTTCAATCGGGATTTATAGTTGTAATGCCGAGTATTTTTAGAAACATGTATTAGCTACTACATATATAGAACAGTTTAATTTATTTGCTTGCAACACACATCTTGCTTCGTATTTGCATTGCTACGAAACATCATCTCTTGTAGCATAAGATACAAATAGAAACATAAACCAAAAACCGAAACCATTGCTAACATTGGCAGACAAATGCAAAGGCATAACAAACACAACACAGCAACCGCATTTTTACATTGCGTTGCAATTTCGCATGTGAACTTTACGATAAATTTACAAAAATAGAAATTCAAAATGAAAACAAAAAAACAATTGAGCAAAGTCATTAAAGTTCTAGTTTGTTGACACATTAAGGCCTCGGTAATACATTTGTAGGGCGTGCATCCTAAAATGTAAATAGAATTGCTTGTTTTAAACTTGAGATGTTGTATATAGACGTTCCCACTTGAATTATGTAAGAGAAAAGGAAAAACTATTGTTTAGATGTTATACTCACGTTTAGACCATTTAGAAATGCGAAATGTCTTTGTTGGCACTAATTCGTAAGTTGTACTCGCAGGACTGATGTATAATTCTCTGAGTCATTGATGATTATATATATTTTAAATATTTGCTTCTATTTACCTGGCTTCTGTGCAACCCATAAAACTAAATACCGTACTTACCTGTATTATTTTTTATGGTCGCTGTGAATTTATTACTTTCCTGGAAGTAGAGAATTGACGAGCGAATAATTTGTTTATTTTTGACAAGATAATTATAGATCTTCCCACTAAATCGGCAAATATTTAAATACATATGAACAACAACTCTTGCCAATTAAAAATGCTAAAATTGGGAATAAGGGCCGAAAACTTCAAAATATTGAAAATCAGGAAGTACCGTTATCGGAGGAGCAGGAGTCGACCTTTATCGAAAAATTTCAATGCCTGTGTAGAATTTCAAAGTGTTATTGTCTTTTGTTATTTCAACCGGTGTCAAGCGTGGTTTGAACGATTCGAACTATTTTCTGGAGGGGAGAATGTATAAAAGATATACAAGTACAAATCTTACTATATAAAGACGATATAGCTGTTGCTGTTGTAACAGTTCCACTACAACACCCAAACAGAGAAAGCTTATGATTATGCTGACGTACGGGAAGGATCTTCGCCTCGTCATGTAGTTGGTCCACTGGTGCCTTGAGGAGGCACCCTGTTGCACTTCTCAGGGCAGTATTCTGGCAGGCCTGGATAATCTTCCACAGCGGGGCATTTATATTCGCAGACCACACTGGGCCGCATACCTGACCACAGACCGACCTATCGCGTTATAAGAGGTCAACAAGGTCTCCTTGTCCGTATCCCAAGTGCTGTCGGCTAGCCCCTTGAGGACCTTGTTACTACTTTTTGATTTGTTGCAGATAACTGTGGCTTGCGCGGGCGACTTGATCCCTTGGAAGTCTAAAAGACTAAAAATAGTAGGAGTATACAAATACATGAAGCAGTACTAACCAATTGGAGTACATGCAGTATATTCACAGCCGAAATACAAAGCCAAGAGTGCGATGTTTCGGCGTTTTGGAATTTTTGGAAAAAGGATATGTTTCTCTTCAACAAAATGGATTTAATGTTTGGCAGTATGCATGTTAACATGCTGCTTAGCTATGGAGTTTAATGAAGCCGATAAACTACGCTCTTTTCTAAAGATAATTTTGAGTTTGGCAGAGTCTACACTCAATTATGCCATGAATTCTTTTAATTAGCATTAAAATGCTTCTTTTGAAGAACTATAATCAAAATTATGTACGGGGTGGGATAAAAAACTGCAACAAGGTCAAGCGCCATCATTTTTACATTTTTTTAAATATAATTGAATGAAAGCAAAAATGTCGGAAATAGCATCACATTTTAGAATAAGTTTTAGGTTTGGTCACCTTGGCACAAATTATGGCCTTCAAACGGCCAATGAAACTGTCACACGCTGTACGAAAGTTGCTCTGCGGTATTTTGTCCCATTCCCGGCGAAGCGCTTGCTTGAGGTGATCGACACTTTGGTAATTTTTTTTTTGCCAACCTTGCTTTTTAAAAAAACTCCAGACACAATAATCCAACGGATTTGTATCCGGAGATTTTGGTGGCCATTGTGCGCTGGAAATGAGCGAGGAAACTCATTTTGTAACCATTCTTGGGTGGCGTGTGCCGAGTCCTGTTGGAATGTCCAAGATATGCGGCCAAATTGTTTGCGTGCCCAAGGCCTTAATACACCCTCCAGAATATTTTTGCGATAATATTCGGCATTTATTTTGATGTCGTGTCGATTAATTCGGCTGTTATGGCGGCCCATACCAAATACCAAATTTGAAACAATTCTGGTGAATAATGTCGCTAAAATCATCATAGTACCGAAAAAGGGGAGGTACTATTATATGGGGGCTATATCGAAACGTGGACCTACATGCCTATTTTAAATACCAAAAATCCTGCATATACACATTGAGTAAAATTTCATCAACCTACTTATTTTTGTTCGGAAGCTTAGAGTGATTTCTACAGACTGACGGACATCGCTAAATCGACATAGAATTTTATTCTGATCAAGAATATATACATATATATACTTTGTGGGGTATAAAATGTATATTTCAAGGTGTTACAAACGGAATGACAAACCACAATACTTTGGTGGAGGATATAATATAATAAATACTAAATTGCGGCTTGTTGTGTTCGCTCCATAGATGGATGCAACTAATTGCCTTAGATTTGATCTGCGGCATTGTCTATATGGAAATACATACATGTGCACGATGTTTTTTTTGTCTTCGGAATAATCACTAAAACATGCTTGCTAAACATTAATTACTTACACATATGTTAGATTTCAACGAATTTGAAAATCTTCGAAAATTCCCAGAAATTCATAAATATTTCCACTTAGTCCACAGGTACTATACTAAAGTTAATCCCTTGTTGGGACCATAAACAATACATATCAAAGTATGTAAAATAGTTGCATAGGACCAATTCAAATGTCTTGTTACCTGCTTAAGGTGTCTTACTATTTAAACCTCGAGTGTTTGACGAACATTAAACAGTAACTGTTTGTTTATCCTGCTATAAACATTAGAGTTTAACTCTTAGTAAATCCTAAAACGTGTTCTAAACACTCTCAATTAAACATTCATAGTGCAAAAGTACTGTATAACAGTAAAGATTTATTTTTATAACTCATTGGTAAGTTCTTTTCAAATTTCAGATCATTAAGTTCGTCTTGAAGGAGAAACAAACTAATTTTTATATTTTACTTAGATTAGTTACAGTTTTGATAGATAATTTTATAAATATCTCTATTTTTTTCTATTTTAGATAACCTCCATCTAAGAGACATCTGTTTGGTACTTCAGTCTTCGAAAAATGTCAGCCAAAGCTTCCAATCAACCTGGTCGCCGGACTCCCTTGTCCTTGAGTGGCGGGGTAAACAAGGGCCAAAATAGCAACAACAATCGAAGCGGCAATAACTCGGCCAATGGTCATGGAAACAATAATAAACCAAATCAGCATCAAAAGACTGAACAAAATCAGAACAATAATCAAAAACAACAACAGTCTGAAAATTCAGGCAAAGGCGGCCATAACAACAAGCAACAAACGGAATCCAAAATTCCCAAGCCACATACAAGTCAAAATTCAGATAATAACAAAAACCAGAAACAACAACAAAATGCAATTGTTGATAATAAAAAATCAACGGAGAAGCAGCAGAATGGTGTTGCCGCCAATGGTAACAAAAATAACCAGCAACAGTCCAAGGATAATAAGACTACCCCTCAAACATCCAATGATGTTGCCAAAACTAATGATAAAAAGAATGAGGTAGTGCAAAATAAACCCGAAAAGGTAGAAAGTAAAACTCCTACGGTAACAGAGAAATCCGAGAAAGAAGTGCCGAGCCCAAAAGAAAATATAAAGGACCAAATTAAGGAAGACAAGAAGGAGGAAACAAATTCGAAGATCGAAGAAAATATGGAAACCGACAAACAAATTGGTACCACTGTTGAATCAATTCCAATTGAAGATAAAAACAAGGATGAGCAAAAAGATAAAGTTGAAAGTATGGATGTTGCAGATCTGCATGAACCACAACAAGAACAGCAAGCAAAAGAAGATTTACAAATGTCTGCTCCTCCAACACCGAAATCTGTAAAAGAAAACTCAAAGGCCGCCACACCCAATAAGACGCCAAATAAAAGTGTGGAAAAGACTCCAACCAAAAAAGAGTCTTCTTCCGTGGAAAACACCCCCAAAAAGGCTAATGAGAAAACACCCGTTAAAACTACACCCACAATACGTGAGGTTACCACAGCTATTGATGATGTTGAAATGGAAACTTTAGCTGTCGATCAATCGCCCATAAAGATTCAGGTCACCAACGAAGGTATTGCTCCTTCAGCTACATCTACCCCTGGCAAGATAGTGTTGCCAAAACGTACAGCAGCACCTAAAACAGATGTGCAATTGGCCATGCAACCATCGTCTTCCCCCGAACGCCCCAGAACATTTTCACAGATATCCGGCAGACGTGCTATACGCCCCATCAACGAGTACACACCATCCAAATTTCAGAGCAATCCACAGTTCCGTGAATCGTACAGACGTATCAACCTTGAATTGGATGCTACCAATACCAGTTTGAATGTAACCGTTGGCTCGGAAATTCCCAACAACTCGTCGTTCTCTTTCTTTGGCGGCCGTGGGCGTAAACGTGAGCGCACTCCTCCCCTTCAACATTCACAATCAGCTATTGGAGAATTCCAAACCGACATGGAAATATCGCCACCAAAGCGAGCTCGTCTTGACTTCTTTAGCGTTGTTTCTTCGCCTTTGTCATTGTTGCGCAACCGTTTCTCTAAAGCTACCCTGCAAAGCAGCACGCCCGTCAAGTTGCAACAAAAGCTGGAAGAAAAAGAAGATGATGTTGAAGTGCAAAATGTTTCAGGTGTTTCCGTACACGAGGATATTGAGGACAAACCAAACGAAACAGAAGATAATTCCGCTGCCGAAACGACCGTAGGAGAAGAAGCAATTGCAGCCGAAGACAAAAATACCGCCGCTCCCACAGAAGGTGAATTGGAAATTGGCGACAATGGCGCCAAGGAACTGCCACTGAAATGCGGAGCCCAGGAAATATCCGAAGATACTGAAGACATTAAAATCACAGTTACCGATAATGTGGCTAAAAATAAGAGATGTATTGTTATGTAAAATGTAAATTTAGTTTAGTTTTGTTTAGGTGTTTTATATATAAGTATTTCATGACCACACCCGCCCGCCCCTGACCCATTCTTAAGAATTTTAAACCCTCACCAACCTTACCATAATGTATTTGTGTATGTATGCCACTCATAAAAATTAGTAAAAATTTTGGGTGAAAAATTCTTAGTACATTAATGGAAAATGTACTTTGTGGATTTTTCGGTAACTATTTTTGAAATTTTAAATGTAAAATGGTTTTTATTTTCTTATAAAGTTCAAAAGAAATGTAATTAAAAAACCATGCAAACATTTAGAAAACAAAAGGAAATTGATATCAATAGTTCATTTGTTCAAAACTGTTTATTTTTGTTGGGTCTATGATTTATAAAAATATGTGCATTTGAAGTTCAAATATAACCACCAATTGGAATTTAGCTATGATTTTATTTATATTTCAAAACTATGCAGATCTAACAAAGACAAATTGTTTTGTATTTGTCGTTGCAAAAAACAAAAAGATTTTAAATTGAAAATTTTAAGGTCTTCTTTTTTTTAAGACACTCGTACTGTCTTACCAAAAATGTATAAAATAACATAAAATTCTTAATAATTTATTTTGAGATTTTTTATAGCATACTTATTTATTTTTCAGTGCTGCAAAAATAGGCTTCCAGTAAAGATTGTTGAACAAAGTAATAACATTAAAGCAAACAAAATTCATTGCAATCATTTACAGTTTTCATTTTCGAGTGACTTGAAAAAACCAGAATAAATTTTGAATTTTAAATCTTTTTATTATTTCTTCAAAAATCACATTGCCCCTAAGTACATACACAATACAAATATAAATATATTTATGATCTATTGGTGTGTCCATATTAAAAACAACAAAAGAATACAAATTTTATGTTTATACATTAATTCGATTTAGTATTAAAAAACAAGAGACAAATCCTTAAAACAAATGTTTATATATATGTTAATTAAGATTCCTTTTATTTGATGTATTTTTTTGTGACTCAAAATGAGGGTATCCTTATGCTCATTCAGTAATCTAACAAGACTCTCCTCCCTATTCCATATCAATTTAATATTTTATTTTACATAACAAATGTTTCTTTAAAAGATTTTGTCATTTGCAAACAACATCAATAATAAAAATTCACGATTTTACTTTGCTAACATTTAAACACATGATATATTTAATACAAGAAATAAGCAACTATATTATTTTTATTATTCAAGATAATCAATTTATAAATACAAATATGAAATGCAAACATTTTTAAATAAAGTGATTTTTACAAAAGTACATGGTGTTATTTATTTATTAAAAAAGCATTACGAGGTGTTTGAAGGATATGTTTATTCTTTATAACACAATTATAGGGTGATATAAAATAACTGCAACAAAGAAAACGCCATAATTTTTACATTTTTTTTAAATTTTATTTAATGAAAGCAAGAAATGTCGGAAATAGCATCGAATTTTAGAATAAGTTTAGGTTTGTACGAATTGGTCACCTTTGGCACGAATTATGGCCTTCAAACTGCCAATGAAACCGTCACGCGCTGCCCGAATGTTGCTCTGCTTTATTTTGGTCCATTCCCGGCGAAGCACTTGCTGGAGGTAATTGACAGTTTGGTATTTTTTCAAAATATTCCAGACACAATAATGGAATACTGGAAATGATGAGAGATACCTCATTTTGTAACCATTCTTGGGTGGCGCGAGCTGAGTGCGATGGTGCTGAGTCCTGTTGGAATGTCCAAGATCTGCGGCAAAAATGTTTGCGTGCCCAAGGCTTTAATACACCCCAGAATATTTTCGCGATAATATTCGTCATTTATTCTGATGCCACGATCAATTAGTATGAGCGGAGAGCGACCATCGGCTGGTATGGCGGCCCACACCATCGCCATGGTCGGCGCTTGAGTTCTGGTGGCCAACCGAAGGTGCACATTTTCAGCTAGCCTCTTTGGCAAGTAAACACGATCATCGGAGGAAACCAAATTCGGCAGTTCACCACTTTCGGCCAAGCGATGCAACTCTTTAGCTCTTTTGAGTCTATTTTCTTGTAGTTGCTGTGTAAGTTCCTACACTTTTTGGAATTTCAATGGCTTCACCCCGAGCTCATTGTTCAATATTTGCCGAACGGAATATTGCGATTTGTTCATCTCATGTGCCACTTTTCGGCCACTGCCACGCGGGTTTCGATTAAGTCGGTTCTTTACTTTTCGAACTTTATTATATTTAAAGATTTATTCACATTTAAATGCTGGATTGCTCTAACGATAGCCACTTGTGGTTTCCACCCAAATATAAAGAAATCACACTATTCCATCACGAACAATTTTTTTCTGGAAAATTCTCACCAAAATGCTTTTGTACGCGTGTATACAATATAATAAACTGTCACGGGAATAATTTTATTACTTTTTAAGGAATAATATCAAATAAATTAAAACAACTTGTTGCATATAATTTAGAATAATTCTAAGAGGAAGCGCGCCTAGTCTCAGGGCTGTATTTCTAAAAACTTACGAACTGTTCTACTTCCTTATTGAACTATGGTTGTTACATGAATGTGCATTCATTCTGCCGTTTTATTAATAAATAAATGAATTAAATGATAACTGACAGCGCGAAAAATTCATGAAATGGCTGGATTTTCTTTCAAAAATTACATGGCAAAACTGGCGAGTAGCTCCAATGCGCGCCCGCAATGTATTCGTCTTCCAATCATTGATTTTGAAAATATTTTGTTTTTATTTTTCAAAACAATAAATACATTCACAAAATTGGCAGAAGTCGGGCACACTTAAAAAAAATTGTAATCAGCTGGTAGCTCTAACTTATCTTTTTATTGTACCCTGGGTCTTGCCTTAATTATACCCTACAACACTATGTGTTGGGGGTATTATAAGTTTGATTGGGCCAGAATTTATGTAACACCTCGAAATATTGGTTTCCCATATAGGAAAGTATATATGGATCTTCCTAGCTCGCCGAGCTGAGTGTATGTCCGTCCGTCCGTCTGTCCGTCTATCCATGTTAATTTGTAATCACGCTACAGGTCGCAATTATGGCCCGATCTTAACGAAATTTTGCACGAAGGTGGGGTTAGGGTCAGAATAGAAGCCTATTTCTTTTGGAGATGATCGCCAAATGTTTAGGGGTTGAAATGGACCAAATACTGAAAAAATGTCGGATTTTGCAGTAGCTATACAGGTCGCAATTATAGACCAATCGACGCGGAATTTCGCATGTACCTAGAGTTTAGAGCGGGGAAGAAGCCTACTAAATTGGGTGGTCATCGGATAATATTTAGCGGGTAAAATAGACCATATATTTTGTGTTGAAAAAATTATATGTCGAGAACGGCTGAACTGATTTCGACAGTTCTCATTAATTCAGAATGGCCTCCTGGCAGGAAAGAAAAAACGTCTAAAAAAATCGCATAAAAATATCTCTCTAAAGATGAAAATATTGATTTTGTAACATTTTATCATATTTTTTTTCAATTTTGGCATATTTTCATTTTGAATTAAACATTTGGTAATATTTCTACAGCTAACAAAACTAAGTAGTTAGGATATCAGCATATCATATACAGATCGCATTTATGGCCCGATTCTTACGAAATTTTGCATGGGTATAAGATGAGGGTCAGAATAGAATCCTACTCTTTTTGGAGATAATCGCCATATATTTAGGGATTGAAATGGACCAAAAAGTGCAGAATTGTCAGAAGGTCGTAATTATCGTCCGATCCTCACGCACATTTGAATGGGGGTTACCGGACATTGCAAAAGCCAAGCAGTTTTGGATGGCCATCCAAAAATATTCAATCTTTGAATAGCTTGCCAACTTTTGTAGACAAATTACGAAAATGTCCATTACAGTGACTTTTTGGAGAATTCACAAATACAGGAAAGACGCACTTCTGACTATTTCGTTAACGCTGATTTCGTTGAAGAATATAGTCAAATGTCTATATCTCATATAGATGCGTTTCAGTCAAAAACCAATAATAAATGCTAATATTTTGCTACTTCTGAGAGATTATAGGTCTTTGGGAAATATTGGTTCCAGATCTAGGAAGACCATTTACGTACAACATATTCCAATAAATTGGAAATGAGCAAATTAGTTTAAGTTGCTATTATTCGAAAATTAGAGAACGAAACCTGATGGTTTTCTTTTAATATTTGTCACAATATCTTGTGGAATTCTTTCAAGTATCTCGCCTATATAAACAGTATCGTTTATTATAGTGTTGTAGGGTATTCAACGGTCGGCCCCGCTCGACTGTAGCCTTTGCTTACTTGTTTATTTTATGTTTAATCAAAGAAATTACAATCTAAATAACTCATCTTCTGAAAACAGTTTCGGGTTAAATAAAGCCATAGCCCAAGTGAATTTCACGAAATTTTAACGTTACGACGACCAATAATTGGACTATTTTCTTTATATTCACCACATCTGGTCGGAATGTAACACTGGCGAGTGTTGAAATTGCAACTCACCGATTGCAATGCAGCCCTGTGCTGTGTTGTTGTTTTTGTTTCAACATTCAATTTTCCAACGTCTATCGCATTTTCCATTTGTTTTTGGTAACAACATTATTATATATTTTTTAAAGAACATAGCTTTTCTTTATTGTGTGTGTGGATAGTGGTTGATGTGAAACAAATGAAAATTTATGCTAAAATATGTGTGTAATTAATATTTGTTTGTGTTAATGGTTTGAGAGAAGAAAACGCAGTAAATCGAAGAAAAAAAGTGCAACCCATCTTTTTCAAAGCAATCACAAAGTGCGCGCGGTTAAAAAATGGAGGACATTGAATCCCATGTGATGGGACTGGAAAGATTTGAAAGTAAATTGGAGAACTATTCAGACTCTGTATTGGACAAGGATGATATTGAAAATGTTTCCCATAATAATCATCATCCGAGTGATTATAAAACACCAAAGAAATCAACGTTTTTGATCGATGGTGAGAAGCTGCTGGACAAAATTAACATACTGACAACAAAGCCGGAAAATACATCGACCAGTGCAAAGGTAACGAAAAATCATTAGAAAATTGTTTTGGAAAAATCCTCCACGCGAAAAAATTGATATTTCCATAAAATGCGCGTTTGAATTGTATTTGAACTGCTGGGTTATGTTAATATTTTGTAATACAGTTGTGTTTGTTTGAGCAGCGACACACAAACATCTTGCTACCGGTCGGTCTGTCCTGTTATGTTTTGACGAACATTAGTTATATTGTTGTTGTTGCTCGCTGTTGTAATGTTATGATCAATGCTTAGCTGCAACAACAAGAGCAGCGTAATATATGGACGTTCCAGTAAGTGGTTGTTTTTGTTGTCTCCTAATAATCGCCGTGTGCCGTGTTATGGTTGTATCGTTGTTGTTATACCATCTTCCAATCCACACGAAAACAACCGTTCATTACAGGGTGACATTGTATAGATTTATTATAAATAAATTATAGATTTCGGTCATGTGCATAATGACAGAGAATTTTTCCAAGCATATATTGTACCCTCAGCCATGTAGCATCTAGGCCTAGACTCTAGGCCTCTTTAGACGAAATCTGGTTCAGAACATTTGGAGGCTATCTGTGTCCGCCGGTTCGACTGTCTGCCTGGCAGTTTTTTCTTGGAGAAATCACACTTCCCGAGTTTTTCGAATTTTTTTACCTTCCACCATTCTATAGAGGGTATATTGGCTTTGTCATTCCGTTTGTAACTCCTCGAAATATTCATAATAGACCCTACAAAGTATATATATTCCGGATGAGCGTAAAATTCTAAGACGATCTAGCGATGCCCGTCTGTCTGTTATAATCACGCTATCTTTCGATCGAATTGAGATAGAAGGCTAAAAATTTGCATACACGCATAGTTTACCAGTAGGCAGGTTAAGTTCGTAAATGGGCCATGTCGGTCCAAGTTTTCGTATAGTCCCCATATAACGGTACCCCCGATATTCGGTATTTTCATGATTTTAGCGAAATTATTTATCGGAATTATTTCAAATTTCGTATTGGAAAATTTTAATGGGTACTACAACCTACGCAAAAAATTTCGTATGCAGGTCCACGTCTTCGTATAGCCATATAACGGGAACCTCCCGACAGTCGATATTTTGTTGATTTCAGCAACATTATTTACGGGAATCGTTTCAAATTTCGCATTGGAAGATCTTAATGGGTACTACGACCTAGGGCAAAAAGTTTCGTATGCAGGTCCACGTCTTCGTATAGCCCCTATATCATATATACCTCCAATTGGTACTACAGCATGTGATAAAAAGGTTGACGTCTTCGCATAGTCCCCATACAATATAGGTATCGTTGCTTATGAAAATACCTATCCGAAAGTGATCACATGATAGGGTTATTTATAAGCGGTTTGAAAGTTATAGTCAAATTTTCGATTTTTATATGAAGATAGGCTTGAGTTGCGGAGCCGGTCTAGGAATCTGTCCATAGGCGAGTCTTTAGAAACACTTTGGGACACACCCAGAGAAGATTATGCCAAGCTACGACCGGAAGCTAGATGTTTTAAAAAGTATCAAATTTGGAAAGGCGTGGGTTGTGCGGGTGATTTGGTTGGTATTGCAGACACTGAAATATACCAGGTCTCAATGGAAATGTAGAGGCCAAAGAATAAAATAAAAAATCATCTTACTCAGGACTCGGAGGGCTATCTGTCCAAATGATCGGCGAGGGGCCCTAAACCCCACATGATTCGAAATTTCTGCCAAAGGTTGGTATTTTTTCTGTTTTGTTTTCTATGTAAACTTGATGCAGGTTAGAGCTGGCCCTAACCCTAATTTAGAAAAAACTCATAGGTTTTTTAAAGTTTTCTCAGGTGATAACTTTCTAGTTTTGTAAAAATTCTTAGATTTATGTGTATATTTTTTTCAGTAGAGATTTTAATCCTGGTAAAATTGTCAGGAAAAAAAGATTTTACACGAGCAAAGCAAAGCAAAGATTTCGTAAAACAGACGTGTAATCATACTTAGTTTACAACCTGGGGGTCAATTCTGGTTCTATGAAAACGTAAAATGAAAAGTTTTTTCACCGTTTCATACAAATACTGATTCGAGTTCTATGAAAACATAAAAACATATGTTTTAATGTTTTCATATGAAAGGAACGATAGAAAGTGAAACTAGTGTTTTCACATTTTCACAAAGTAAGCTATTCCGATTCTATGCAATCATGAAAATTGAATCAAAAAAGTTTTCAGTTGAAAAATATTTTTTCATACAAATTTTCTTTATGAAAATGGAAAAATCGGTCCGTGGTAAAAGAGCCTCAGAAGAACAAAAGGAATTTTTAATAAATTTCCTTGAGGAAAACGTCGATTTGGCGAATGACAAGTAAGACAATTTAAAATTTTACAAAAAAATCATGTTTCTTTACAAAATAAAAATATACGTATATTGAAGATTTTGTACTGTTGATGGTGCAAAATATAGAGAAGAAAAATGGAAGGAATTGGCGGAATGCTTGAATGCTATTGGAGGGACTATGAAGGATGGTGCCAAGTGGAGAAAATATTGGAGTGATTTGAGGTATGACTTATTTTAATTGTAGAATATTAAAAATAGTAGTAAGATTTTTTGGAAGAATGTTATAAGTATTATTATTTGTAGAGGAGCAAAATTGGGAGAATGGATCTAACGATCCGGAGAATGGAAATGGAATCGCTCGATATGCTTTTACGTATTTAAATACCAACCAATGTTTGTCATTGTACATGCGTTTATCTATGCAATTTTTTCCATTCGTATAGGCAACATACACGCTCCAAATACCTTTTGATGAAAAGAGACGAACAAAAAAGTGGAATTAATGGACCAAAAAAAATCAAGCAACTATCTGAAGTAGAACAGAGGATTATAAATATTACCAAAATAGAAGCGGTTGATGGGGATAAAACTCAGGAGATGGGGTTCCTATGTAGTCCCGGAGTACATGTGGAAAATAACTCATCAGATATTTGCTATCAGGAAGATATGGTGGAGATACTTGATGACCAAATTGTAGAGTTGGATGAAGATCTTGAAACTGGAGAAAATTCCACATTTACAATTAAATTGGGAGGAAAAAGACCAAGGAAAGAAAAACGGAAGGTTGCTTTATATCCTGATGAATCACAATTTGAAATATTGTTTAAAATAGAAGAAGAGAAAGTGGAAGCTATGAGAAAGTCTAATACTCTAAAGGAAAGGGAGATTGAAGCTATAAAGGAGCAAACAGAAGCGATTAAGGCTGATACACAAGCAAAAGTGGATTTTTTAAAAAAAATACAGGAAGTCATTCAAGTTCTACCTTGTAATAATAATGGCTACTGACATAATAATAAATAAATTCTAGCCATTACTAAAAATGATGTCGATTATTCTTAAACTGTTTTGGAAACGAGCTTGACACAAATCAGCAAGGTGTGGATAAAAGTTGGCTGTCCGTGGAAATCACCCTAGCGTCCAAACGAATTGAAGTAGATTGATACAATTTTATTCAAATGTGTGTTTGGTCTGCAGGACTTTTGATATTGAATATTTGTTATGTAGGCCCACGTATAGGTAAAGCCCACACTTCGTTATAGGTACAGACAGAATTTTAGATCCAAGTCTTCGTATAGTATTTTTAAGATTTTAAAAAATTTTGTAACGGATTTTTCCTTTTTATTTAGTTTTTTGTTTTTTTTTTTTTTTTTTTTTGAGAATTTTCCAAATGGTGGACGGTATTCAACTGCTTTTTCACTTGTTTTTTTAATGATTGTATTGATTTTTCAATCTATTCTTATCTATTGAGCAAATACGTTTTCAACTATCTCGGAACGTTGCCTTTTTGCAATACTTGATATATTTCGGCATGAAATATCCGCAGTTGCATTTGTTTGTTCCCCATTGTCATTCATTTCCTCTGATATTATTTCCGGATGCGGTATCTTTTTCCGAACTAAAAAATTATGCAGGACCAAACAGGCGTTTATTATCAGACCTGCTTTTGGTGGACTATAGTAAAGTGTCCTTTCTTTTGATAAGCATCGAAATCTTGATTTTAGTATACCAATACATCTTTCTACTAAAGCTCGTGTCGATTTGTGCGCGATGTTATAGCGCTCTTCGGATGTATTGCACGTTGAAAGTATAGGAGTCATCAACCACGGCTATTTGGTAAATTAAACGAAAACACTTTATTATCTCTACACATAATACGTTCGTATATTTTACCTGCAATGGGTAACCACTATCTCCTAAAAGCCAATAATTACGTTCTCCTCCAGTATATAAATCTTCCAGTCTTCTGCAAGCTTGGGAACTTCTCCAAACATAAGAATCATGTGCTGTACCACCAAATCGTGCGTTAGCTGCCAAAATAATATAATTTGAATCGCATATAATCATCACATTCTTTGAATGTCCTCCTTTTCGACAGTAATATATATGCTCAATTTCACGCCTTGGAGCAGATATTTTAATATGAGTGCCGTCAATTACTCCTATAATCCCTGGAAATTGATATTTCTCCATAAACTTTATTTTAAGTCCTGGGAAATCTTCTTGTTTGGGAAATATTATATAATTGTGTGAAATATTGTTCAAAGCTTTAGCAACCATAGTTACACATCTGCTTACGGATGTTTGAGATAAAGCGGATAAATTATCTTGTCCTACACTTCGTTGAAAGCTACCAGTAGCAAAAAAACGTAATGAACTTAGTACTATTAGATAGCATGGAATTGCATGGACTCTTCTTGATTTCGGCAAAAATGGCTTCAATTCTTCGATGAGTTCCAAACACAAATGCTTCGGCATCCTATATAACTCAAAAAAGCTCTCCTCTGTGGCTATTTCAAATGGATTGTGGTGATCCCGAAGACTGCGTCTAAGAATTCGAAGCGAGTTCCTAAACAATTTTATATTTATTTCATGTTAACTTTTTTAGATAATTGTACTAACCTTTGTTCTATTCTATGTCTTTGCGATATATAATATAATATAATGGAACTTGACATTTTTTATCGTATATTGTTTGATTTTACGACAATATTATTTTTTTTTTGTGAACATATGAACGTCAACTTTACAATTATTTCAATAACATAGTTACAAAAGTTTCATTGCGACACGGAATTGAAACATTGTTTTCACAAAATGAATCAGAATCGGAAAATATGTTTTTATGAAAACGAATTATGAAAAGTTGTTATGAAAACGAAATTCAAAATAATTTTTTCATTTCATATTTTCATAGAACCAGAATTGACCCCCTGATTTCAACTGACAACAGACTAATACCTTTGAGGCCAGAAAATATATGTTAACACATTGGATGGCACTATTTTGAAAATTTTGGCTTATAGGAAAGGTTTTATAGAGTTATTATAAAAAATTCGGGCCTATAACACTAGTTTTTCTACAAATGCCGAAGCGTTTAAAATAGCCCCATCATACGGTGAGTAAAATCAATAATCATGGCAAAATACCTTTGTGTGGAAAATTAAACCAGAATTGTTTTAAACAATATTTTTTTTCCTTTCAACAAATTTTAGTCTTATCCTCTATTTAGTCTACCTTAAGTTTCAGAGTACCCACGATTTATTAAATATCGGCAAATAAAGAACCTGCCATATGGAATTTTATAGGCATAAGAGAGACTACATACTTATAGGAAGAAGTTAGCAGGAGATGAAACTTGTAAACCTCTTGCAAGAAATTTAAGACGTTAGTAGGGTTTTTAATGGAGTTATAATAAGGGCTTTTGTAGATCATCTGTCATCTCTAATGAATTATCAAGTTTATAGTAGTTGTTCTCCGAAGATACCACCACATGAACTTCGCCAAAAAATTTCTTGGCCTTGTCTTCTTGCGAAATATATCTGATACGACGTTTAGATTTTGGATATTAGACACTTGGTTTTTCTTTAACGGACTTCTTGATTTCTAGTTACAAGAAGAAGTCTTGGCTTGACTAAGCAACTTAGTCTTAAAGAAACGACTTTTCGATCTCTTATATAAAACCTTTTTGACGTCACATATCTCGATATTTGAAGATCTACGGTTTTTGGTTTCTTCGACTTTTTCTTTATAAATATTTCCGAATTCTTTTTGATGGAAATGTTTGGTTCTTACTTCATGACTTTGGGCTTCGTATTCTGTCGAGATTTTTATTTTTGTCAACCGAAAAAAGCATTACCTTTATTTATCTCATATCATTTCCTTTATATGGCTAAATATAATTACCATTTTCTAATTTGCATGCCTTTTTCTTTACAGCTTCCAACAATTAAGGATTTCGTCATTATCAAACCCATCAGTCGGGGAGCTTTTGGCAAGGTATTCTTGGGCTATAAGAATAATGATCACAATAAATTGTATGCCATCAAAGTGATGCGTAAATCTGAAATGATTAACAAAAATATGGTTTCTCAAGTGATAACGGAACGAAATGCCTTGGCATTATCGCGCAGTCCGTTCTGTGTAAATTTATTCTATTCGTTACAATCGGTGTCCTATGTGTATTTAGTTATGGAATATATGGTGGGTGGGGATTTAAAATCATTGTTGACAATGTACGGTTATTTGGATGAAGCTGCTGCACGTTTCTATGTTGCCGAAGTGGCTCTGGCTTTGCAATATTTACACGAACATGGGATAATTCATCGAGATATAAAACCAGATAATATGTTAATTTCGGCAACGGGCCATGTAAAGCTAACAGATTTCGGTTTAAGTAAAATTGAAATGAGAAAAGGTGAAAGAGGTATGTTGGGAATGTGTTGACATTTGTAAAACTATTTTTGGGTACGGGAAAATAATTAATTTTCTATTTTAGATTTGGAAATTTCCGATCTTATTAACTGTTCGCCAAATTTAAATGCTCGAACACCTGGACAATTGCTTTCATTGACATCGCATTTATCCTTTGGATCTGAAAAGAAAATGGAATGTGGGACGGGAACTTCACATTTTATTAATACCATAAATAAACACAGTAAGTATTTTCTACATTTTTTTAATCTTGTATAAGTCAGTCAAAGTAAAAATATATCAATTCATTTTGGAACGAGCTAAGATTCTCTATAAAGATGCCGTATGTAACAAAAGCCCTAAACTTGATGATAACATTATCTGATACATATTTTGGAAACTATCTTAAAAATAGCTCAAGTTGTACTGTTTAGTATTTTCTAATATGAAAATTTTACCAAAAAAAAAAAAAGGATACATATTCCAGTATTTATCAATGGCTACTTCGGGGATATGCTGAATATAAGCGATGGACCCAATATACGTTAGGTTAAAGGATGCGCGGTTGTATAAACATTCGGTTTTATAAAGAAGATAGCAGAATAGAATAGAGAGAAGAGAAGGAAATGAATAGCGGGTAGTGAAGAAGTGATAATCTGAATAAAGAGTAGAGAAGTTAGTAGGTTTGCATCCACGGTGTATCAACGTGTCGTCCTTAGACATTTTAGTCTTCTGGCTAACTGAAGAATGACTGCTGGCTCGATGTCGGAGAGGGAGGACAAGTCTGGCAGAATTTGCTTACCCAGTAGCCTCTGTCTCACTCCTATAAGAGTTGGGCAGTGTCAGAGTAAGTGCTCCACCGTCTCAGTTTCTTCCTCGCCCTGACAAAGCCTGCAGTGTTCAGTGTCGTCACCTTCCATTTGGATGTCATGGCCTTTACGTTGCAGTGTCCTGTAATTAGGCCCACAACAAGCTTCAAGCCCAGCTTCGTCATGGATATGAGTATCCTTGATCTCCTTTCGGAGTTCACAGGCCAAATCTTTTTGGAGACATTACATCCCCTTCCAGTTAGCCAGTTCTGTTGAAATTTCCCAAGATAATGCTTATGCAGTACTTGGAAGATGTGACATAAGGGTGGCTTCACTGAGCTCTCTCTCTAGATCTACTGACTCAGATCCGCGTCTGGCCAATTCATCGGCCGATTCATTGCCAGATATGTCGCAGTGTTCAGGGACCCAACAGAGTTTGGCAAACGATTTAATCTTTTTCAGAGCATTCCTGTTCTGAGCATAGTCACCGGTCCGTCCAGTTCATTGATTCTATTTGCCAGCAGCTCTATGGCCTTCCGTAGGGGTTCGCGGCCGATTAAGCTTTTACAGTACCTCACTAACCGTTTGTAACCCCTCTATGCTTTAACCTCTTTCGATGAGGAGTCGTCGCGGTTAATAGGGACACTAGTGTCACCTCCCACGACGCCTTCCTTGACCCGGAGGTTGGTAGCATCGGTATGCTCCGATGAAACTCCTTCATCGAGGGTTGGCCTCACCTGAGCGGCAATTTGAGCAACCTTTTCAGCTTTCTGGACTGATTCATCTCTCTTAGATGAGGGTATGACGTGACGTCGAGCTCCTTATCAGAGATAGGTATTTAGTCCGAGTCTCTCCCCCCTGAAACCGCTGATCTGTCCGCGATTGCCTATTTAATTCGCAGCTGCCGAATATATCAATCGGGTGTCCCACTATCCACAACCTCTGTGCGCGTCCGGTAGCACTCAGCTATGCTTCCGCGAACGGCGGATTGACCCAATATAAGTCGAAACGTAAATAGTGAAGTGGTTGGAATACCCGAATCTACAACACCACGTCCAAAAAAAATTAACGCAATAGAAACACAATATAGTCAGAAATTGTCTTTGATGTAGTCCAACGAAGAAAATTTTACAATCGTCTTATGTTTTTGGAAACATAGGGTAAGTGTGCCTAAGTTCGGCATGTCCCAGTAGTCGGCACTTTTTATTTTTAAGCCCAAATAAATGAAACTATTATATTTAAATGTATTTTGTTTACTTCAAATTTATTGCCAGCTATCTTTGTGTACAATTTCGCTAAGAAAAGATGATTTATTCTAATAAAAATTAAATTTTTGTCTGTGAAGGTCCTCAACAATCCATATTCTTGAGAAAAGAATATTATATTTTAATGAATTAATTTATTATTATTATTAATTATTTTTACAAAAAATTTGGTTTGCCGACTGTTGGCAAGTGGTGCCGACTACTGGCAAAAAGCATTGTTTTAATAAAACTACAAATTTATGAAATTTAATAAAAAGATATTAAAACTTATTATTATATATTATTATTATTATTATTATTGCAAAAACTATACAAAATTTCGAATCTGAATAAATTAACTTTGTAATAATTGAAAAGTTCCACTCAGAATGGTGAGCGATTAAAAACGCGAAAATCCTAAAAGTGCCGACTACTGGTACCCTTACCCTATACAGTCCACTCTATGCATTTTTCTAATTTATGTGTTTTATAGTTCTATATTTAAATTCTTTTTTTTTATAATTTTTTATTTCTTTTCCTTTTTTCATGTAGATAATATTATGGAATCTTCGGACAGTGAAGCTGACACATCATTAAATGATGCCGAGAAAACAGACGATAGTAAAATATCTGGAGTATCACCTTTCTTTTCAGCCGAAGAGATAAATGTTTCGATAGCGGGAACGCATACATGTAACAATAATAATGTATGTAAATCCATTTTTTTATTGCGAATAATTAATTGAAAGCAAATATTGCTCTTTTATAATTTCAGTTAATGGATAGTAGCTCATCATATCACACCTGCATTTCTGTAGATATAACAAAAATATCACCGCCAATGGATAATCAAGTTTTTAGTAGTTGTAGTTCGATGATACCAACACAAAAACGTGTCGAATTTGTCGACAACAACAATGCAACAAAGGCATATTGCAATGTAAGTTTTGAGTAGTGGCTACACCCCAAACTATTTAATCAATAATTTGCTTTTCTTATACAATTTTCAAAGGGCTGCAAATATGAAATAACTAAAGCCTATGAAAAAGACAACATCTGTAATAAGAACTTAGCAAAAGTGGAAAACGCTGACGATACATCGTTCGAATTTTCTATGATGCGTCGACGTTCCATAGATGAGGTGCGTTGTTATTGCTATTTTGAGAAATGTTTCGTTCTTCCTTCTGTCAATATGTGCCTGTCATTTAAATATCTCCTTTGTGTGTTGCTCTAAACATATCATGTGAAGTTTCGGTGTTTGGGGATAAATTACTCTGGCATCATTTTTCTTAAATGTTTAATTTTCCACAGTATCTACTAAACGTCCCTAAACCTCTCTAAAGTTTATTGTTTCTTTATATAGAAAATTTTATATATTTTTATATGTATTTGTATTTCTTTACTTAATTTGAATATTACTTTTAGGTACATTCCATTTACTCAAATTGGTTGGTTCCTGTCGGTGTTTTATACATGTTTATGATAGACAATAGCCAATTAAATTGATTATTTCATAAGTTCGTAAATTGAATTTGAATTATTTGTGACCCTTCATTTTGAACAGTTTAAAATTTAAAATGTAGTGGTGCACTGTTGCTATATATGTTTTGGGCCTTCATTATACAAGCGCGATCAGATACAAGCCATTTTTTAGAACACATTGTCCAAAACAGGATACTATTTCGTTTAACAATTTGATACGTGCGTGTTACACTAAAATCATATTCTAAGTACTTGGGCTTGTAAAAATTTGAAAATTTAAATCGGAAGAGCTGTCCGTCGAAATGAACCTCCAGTGGTATCTTTTCCCAAATATTGGTTCTGGGACAGGGAAGCCCAATAGATATAATAGGTAGCTACAAATTAAGTGAAAGCCAATGGAGTCTCGTTTTAAATTTCCGAGTGCCTATGTTCCGTAGGGTGACGACTCAATGTTCTGGTGACCCTAAAATGGCAAACCTTGGTGGGGTGGGGTATTTGGCGACCCTGACTGTTAATCTGTAACACTGATAGGTAGTGTTACAGATTAACAGTCAGAGTACTTTCTGTGCTCGAATAAAGCTGGATGGAACACCATCAGACTTTCATATCACAATTAGCACAATTCGGTTAGAAACTACAGCTGACTCCTAATGACATTCGATTCGGGATCGGTCCATTCATCAAAACATAGAAACACAGTACGATGGACATGGTTTACGTACGATTGCGTTTCCAGATGAATCTCCTCACTCCTCCAAAATGATTTTTGAACTACTTATTTTTAAATTTTACATCAAAAAGTTAATTTTTTGCTAAAACAAACAAAATGGTGTCGACATCCATTGCCTTATACGTCGCTGTTCAAGTCATTTAAAGTCATGGGTGTTGTCGGCGGTAGACGTTAGGTATGCTAGTCTTCTAAAACTCGGCCAGTCAAGCGATTCTTGAATTTGCCTTAGACCTTACATCCAAATAGAAGTGAAACCTTCAAAGGTATTATAACTCAAGTCTCTGTGGTCGGTTGATATTTTTTATGGAATAAGTGTCGTTGACAGTCATTGGACGGACTTATATCACTGGGGTTTTGGGACCCCAAGTGTCTAAGCCTAAATTTGATTTTTTTACCCAAAACTATAATTAAACAATTAATAATGTTTAAATGTCGTATGAAACTAAATGTTTATCTTCAATACTAATATATTTTTTTTTACTTTAGCGTATTCGTTTGTCAAAACCTCAAGAAGATTCGGGAGTATCAAGTCGAAAAAGTGATTATTCCACTTCCAATGCCAATAGTGAAACCACGACATCTTCCATTGATAAAGCTGAAAATATGTGCAATTCTGGAGATGATTTTAGTTGCTCAGATTACTCTAAAAGGTAAGTTGAGTTTACAATTTTTAATTTGACAAAACATTAGATAATTTCCACGGGAATTATATAAAAATTTAACATGTAGATAAAAAAAGGCTTCAAATTCAAGATTAACGAATCGGAGAATTTATGACTGACACTTTTTTAAAGGTTTCAGAAACGGGTCGTCGGAAATAAGTATCGTTGCTACAACGCCAAAAGTTTTTAGGACAATATTTAATAGTAGTTACCAATAACACCCAATTCCAATTACTAAAAGTGATTTATTTGAAGTATTAAATAGTATATAAATACATAGAAATCGAGTCGTTAATATAAGAATTTTTTACCGATTTCTAAAGATATCTAATTATATTATCCTTCTAATACTAATACATTTTATTTTACTATTTTCTTCTTTTTTTCATTTCAACTAACCAACAATATTCATCACACTATCATTCTCTTTGCTGCTGTCATCCATCATCATCGCAAAAAATGAAATTATATGAACATAAAATACATCATCATATCTCTAACCAGCATTAATATAAATAATACCAATGAAATGAGCGGAATACGTATGCATTCGCCATTTCGAAATATATCAAGAAACTTCAAACGTCCGGAACTTCAAAGGTTAATACAAGCTAAACAAATAATTTCACACACACTTAACATCAAACCAATTTCGCTTCTATATATTTTTTATCTAACAGCTCATTTCGTGGCATGAAACGTAAAATCAATTTAATAAATCGTTCGGAAAATAATTCCAGTCTGGATATTGACGGTTGTATGGGATCGGCAAGTACGGGTTTGACGCAGGAAATTGATATCTTGGACATTGGTTCGAGTACACCAAAGAAGCGTAAAGCAAAATCACCCATTAGAGGTGTACTTAAAGTACGTTCTCTCTCGGATGATGAAATTCCCCAACCAATATCCGATAATGTGGCAAATGTTGTCTTTTCAACACCGGTGTCATCGCAAAAATTACCCCGGCGTGATGGCGGTCTATTGGGAAAATTAAAGGCAACACGTTTTGCTTTGCCACTCTCAATTGAAACGAAAAAAATAGAACAATTGTCAGAGAAAACATCGGGTGTGCAATATTTAAAGATGGCCCACGATGATCCAACAATGTCACCAATCAATCTCAATACGAACAATATACCGAAGACACCGAAAAATATCAATACACCGTTTAGAACACCAAAATCAGTGCGAAGATGTGGTCGGAATTCCAGTGAGCGAATATTGGGTACACCGGACTATTTGGCACCTGAGTTACTTTTAAAGTAGGAGGCTTCATTGATTTGCAAAATTTTACTTTAGTATTACATTTTTTATTATTGTAATTTTATATTTACAGACAAGGTCATGGTCCCGCTGTAGATTGGTGGGCATTAGGTGTTTGCTTTTATGAATTTCTAACTGGTATACCACCTTTCAATGATGAAACACCCCAAAAAGTATTTGACAACATTCTGAACAAAAGTGAGTATAATTTGGAATATTATAAAAAAAGAGTATCTGCCCGATTTTCAAACAAGGGTGTGGGAAGTAGATCAATAAAGCAGAACATCACAAGGTGTTTTCGTTCTCAGGCAACGAACTTCAGACTGCTATAATTTCTAAGCCACTCGTCCGACAGCTGTTAAAATTATTTCAGTGACAGCTCATTATATTGTTTACAAGCGTACAAAAGCATTTTGATGAGAATTTTCCAGAAAAAAAGTTATTCGTGATGGAATTTAAGCGTGATAATGTGATTTATTTATATTTGGCTGGAAAACCACAATTGGCTATCGTTAGAACACTCCAGCATTTAAATGTGAATAAATCATTTGTGTCTCGTACCATCGCTCTTTACCGTGATACTGGTAGCGTAGTCCGACGTCAAGGAAGTGGACGAAAGAAAACAGCAACATCAGCAAAAATGGTTCGAAAGTAAAGAAGCGACTTGATCGAAACCCGCGTCGCAGTGATCTAAAATGGCTCGTGAGCTGCACATATCGCAACATTACATTGAAATTCCAAAAAGTGCAAGAACTTGCACCGCAACAGAAATTAAATAGACTCAAAATAGCTAAAGAGTTGCTTCGCTTGGCCATTTGAGTTTTCGTTTATGTTGAATATCCAATTTTAACAATTAATTTTATCAATTTTGTTTCCTTTTCCCAGATATTGAATGGCCCGAAGGAGATGAAGCCCTCTCACCTGAAGCCATGGAGGCTGTTGATCTAATGCTTACCATGGATCCGTCGGAACGACCAGCCGCCAAGGAAGTTCAACAAATGGCTTTCTTCTCCTGTATCGATTGGGATAACATTGAAAACGAGGAAACACCTTTTGTGCCAAATCCAGAAAATCCCACTGACACCGGCTACTTTGAGGCTCGCAATAATTTACAACATTTAAAACTATCGAATTTTGCTCTGGAAGACTAAATGGTGCATCCGTGTTGTTCTATCCGATGATGATGATAAACGGTGCCCTTATTTATTGTTGTGATACGATTTATACAAATTTTGTAAACTCTGTTGTTATCTATTGTTTGTTTCGTAAACATTCAATTGAAGAAACCGCTGGAGCCAGGCTGCATCCTTAAAAAAACCTTTTAAAAAATTACTCTTAACATTACCCTCATAATAATCTGTCCCATATTCATTCTCTAGCTCATATGAAAGAAAACATTAATTTTATAGCCGCTTTTATTGTTTTTATATAATTTCTTATGATTATTATTATTTTTTGTTTTAGTGGTTATGCATGTTTTTATTTTTATGTTTTTTTATTAGTGTTTTTAGTTTAAGATCCTTCTATAGATTTATCTCAAGCATACATATATATTTTTTTCATTTAAAATTAGTACAGTCAGTTATGTATAACCATTTTTATTATTTAATTATTATTTTAAATCATTACACATTAATAGACATTTTTGAATGTTTAAAAGATATTCTTCCCTATTCTTCCTCTTCCTCTGCTTCACCTTTATACAGTAATAAAATGCCATTGTTTTAAGTATCATCTTTAATTTAGTTTTTAGTGAGATATAAACAAAAATTATAGTCATTTAAAAAATAAGGGAAAATTTTAAAATAACCTAAATAAATAAAAAATACAAAAAAACATTTTATATGAAATTAAAAATAAGTTATTTTGTTTCAAGTGATGAGTTTTCAAAATTTAAAAATACGATTGTAATCGTATTTGAATGTTTGTAATAATGCCATTTTATAGCAACCTCCAACACAATACAAAAGAAAACAATTCAATCCACATTTTCTGGTTTGTTAAGTTTTCAAATTTTTTGGCTTAATTTCAATATCAATATGAAACAAAATGCCGTTACAAGTGTGTGTACATGCATGTAAGAGGACAGTCCTTTGTTGGTCATCATCTTACATTTTGGCAAATACTTTCAAAAACACAGCAAACGATGCCAAAATATCAGTTCGCCAGGATACTAAATGTTAATGTGGGCTAGCAGTGTGGTTAAGCCTTCTAAAACTTTATATTTAAAATTTAATGTTCTTGCAATTGAATGACATTTAGATGAAAATTTTATGGTAGAGAGTTTGGAACAGACTTCGTGGAGGCGGAATGTCGCAAAAAGGTGACGTAAAAGAGAAGTTGGCTTTCTTTTGTCTCTCGGACAATGTATTGTGCCTAAATAATATTTGTAAAACCTTTGTATATTTTTTTGGAAATCTTAAAAATTTCTATCTAAAGACGACATTTCAAATATCTCCTATCTTAAGATATGTGAAAAGTATGTCTATGGAAGACTACAAAATACCTGTGAATGCCTTCTGTGCACCAAATGATTATTATCTGACAAAATATGATACATATCACGGAATTTTTTGTTGCTTCTTAGAAGTCGAAAACAGACAAGACATACTGTAGATACGAAAAATGAATTAACGATGTGTGAATTAAGATACTCTGGGGCCAAATCACCGCAGTTGAAATCGAGTACTTCAGCATCGTAATGTAGTTTACGCGGATCACCGCAGTCGTCAACGAATTGTTTTTACTCCAAGTTGTACACGATCGAAAACAAAGTATGTAGAGATTTTTGTGCGGAAAAAAGGCAAACAAAAAGAAACAAGAAGTTTGTGAAAGTGTAAATTTTATTCTATTTAAATAGAATCACTTACACCACTTCAGGCAATGCTAAAGGAATGAATTTGTCACGAATATTTTTCCTTATTAATGCCACTTTGTACTCATGCTCTGAGTTCGAGATGGGGAAAACAAAACAACACTTGCATTCATAATATATTTGTACACATGTATTTAAACACACAGAAACAAAATAAAATTTCAGAAATAATTATTTCTATACCCTCCACCATACTAAGGAGGGTATGTTGACTTTGGCATTCCGTTTGTAATTCCTCGAAATACTCATGCCAGAACCAACAAAGTATATACAGGGCAAGATGAAAAAACTGCAATCAACTTCAGCCACTCGTCCGACAGCTCTTAAAATTATTCCGGTGACAGCTCATTATATTGTTTACAAGCGTACAAAAGGATTTTGGTGAGAATTTTTCAAAAAAAAGTTATTCGTGATGGAATTCAAGCGTGATAGTGTGATTTATTTATATTTTGCTGGAAAACCACAAGTGATAATCGTTAGAGCACTCCAGCATTTAAATGTGAATATATCTTTTGTGTCACGTACCATCGCTCGTTACCGTGATACACTGGTAGCGTAGCCCGACGTCGAGGAAGTGGACGGAAGAAAACAGCAACATCAGCAGAAATGGTTCGAAAAGTAAAGAAGCGACTTCATCGAAGCCCGCGTCGCAGTGGCCGAAAAATGGGTCGTGAGCTGAACATATCGCAATATTCCACTCGGCAAATATTGAAAAATGAGCTCGGAGTAAAGCCATTGAAATTTCGAAAAGTGCAAGAACTTACACCCCAACAGAAAGAAAATTGACTCAAAATAGCTAAAGAGTTGCTTCGCTTGGCCAAAAGTGGTGAACTGCCGAATTTGGTTTTCTGTGATGAGAAAACATTCGTTGTCCAGCAGTTTGTAAACAAACAAAATGATCGTGTTTACCATCGATGCCAAAGAGGTCAATTGAAGATGTGAACTCAAACGTCGGCCGTGGTGATGGTGTGGGCCGTCATAGCAGTCGATGGTCGCTCTCCGCTCGTATTAATCGATCGAAGCATCAGAATAAATACCGAATATTATCGCGAAAATATTCTGGAGGGTGTACTAAAGCCTTGCCCACGCAAACATTTTGGTCGCGGACCTTGGACTTTCCAACAGGATTCAGCACCATCGCACTCAGCACGCGCCACCCAAGAATGGTTACAAAATGAGGTTCCTCGCTTCATGGGTCAAAATACCGCAGAGCAACATTCGGGCAGCGTGTGACGGTTTCATTGGCCGTTTGAAGGCCATAATTTGTGCCAAAGGTGACAAAACTTATTCTAAAATTTGATTCTATTTCCGAAATTTTTTGCTTTCATTCACTAAATTTTTAATAAAAAAGTAACAATTATGGTGTTTGAATTGGTTGCAGTTTTTTTGTCTCACCCTGTATATGCTTGATTAGCGTAAAATTCTAAGTCCATTTAGCGTTGTCCGTCTGTCTGTCCATCCGACCGTCTGTTGTAATCACGCTATCTTTCGAACGAATTGAAATAGAAGGCTAATATTTTGCACACATGTGTATTTAGCCAGTAGGCAGGTCAAGTTTGTAAATAGGTCATGTAGGTGCACGTTTTCATATAGCACCCATATAACTGTACCTCCCAATATTCGGTATTTTGATGACCTTAGCGACATTTTTTACCAGAATTATTTCAAATTTCGTATTTAAAGTTCGCAAATGTTCGCAAATTTTTGCGACGTTATTCCCCTGTATTGTTTCAAATTTCGTATTTGAAGTTCTTAATGGGTACTACAGCCTATGCAGGTCCTCGTCTTCGTATAGCCCCCATGTAACGGTTTTCATTTATACCGTATTTTCCGACGAAAGTCTCTCAACTTTCTTTCAAATGGTGGAGGCTATTAAAAAATCGGCCCTGCCGAACTCAGGTGCTTTTTTACCTATTTCTATTAAATACCCGCAAAGACTCTTCTATAATATTTCTGAATTTTTAGAGGAGCTGCAATCTTATTAAATATTTGACTTTCTATTTGTAGAGGAAACTGGATTTAATTTAGTCTTGATTAAAATAGTCTTGTATCACTTGTCGGCTCTAGGACTACTTCGTCAGCGAAAAATTTCAGATTTCCATCCCTATTCCAATACCCAACGGCACATTTTCCCCTTTGGTAGGAGTTCCCAAAAACCAGCTCCTTCTCTCAACTACAGACTACCAACAATGATATCCATATAAAATGTCGGAATTTCAGTCAATACCAATTTAGTAATATTTAAACGATCGCCATATCTCAATCTCTGATACCAACATTGACATCTATACCAATTTGGAGGATTTCAGCTTTTCTTCCTCAACCAATACTCAATTTAGTACCACTTAGTAGTTTTCGAACAATTATAGGACGCATTTCCAAAACCACCTCCATATCCCAATTCCAGATGCCAACAGAGACCTCAATATCAAATTTCGGGATTCCTGTTCTATCCCTTCACCCGATACCCAATTTAGTACCGTTTAGTACTTTTTGTAAAATTATAGTACACATTTCCAAAACCGCCTCCATATCTTAACCCCTGACACCATCCGTGACATACACATCATATTTCAGGATTTCAGCTATATTCCCAATACATTAGTACCATTTAGTGCTGTTCATACAATTATAGTACACACCTTCATATCCGATACCAGATACCAACAGATACCTCAATATTAAATTTGAGGATACCAGTCCTATCCCTTCATACAATTCCAAAATAAGTACTTAACTTTCAGAAAATCAAATTATGTACTATTTAGTACTTTTCCTACAAGTATAGCAGACATTTCTAAAACCACCTCCATATATTTAACTCAGATACCAACAGTGACACATATATCAAATTTTCGGATTCCAGCTCTATTCCTTCACCCAATACCCAATATAGTACCACTTAGTACTTTTGGAATAACTATAGTACGAATTTCCAATACCAACAGTGATATCTATATCAAATTTGAGGCTTCCAGTTCTGTCCTTTCACCCAATACCAAATTTCCTATATATACATACCATCAGTAATATAAATGTCAAATTTAAGAATGTTATCTCTATCTCTTCACCCAATGCCTAATATAGTACCATTCAGTACTTTTCATACAATTGTAATACATATTTTCAAAACCACCTCCATATGAAAAGGCTACACATGAACTGCGACCCCAATAACAAATTTCAGATTTAAACCCCTTTCTGTACACCCAATTGCCAAGTGTACGAAATATAGTTCTATTTAATACTTTTCGTACACTTATAGTACATATTTCCAAAATAAACTGTTCAGCATAAAGCAACCACCAGCTTTATCAGTTTACCCAAAAACCGAATCGTTCCAAATTAAGTACCATTTAGTACACATATCCAAAACCGCCTTTCATTCTAACTTTGATTCTCATACCAAATTTTATGTTTTTAGCTCTATCCGTACACATAGTCCCAAATGGTAACACTTTAGAAGTTTAGTACCATTTTGTAACTCTTTGAAACTTTAAAGTTCTAATATCCGAAAACCCTTTGGTACATCAATCCTGCACTCCATCAGGGACCACAATACCAAATTTCATATTTCAAACACTATTTCAGAATTACAACTCCATCGGTTGATCACAATTCCAATTTGTACCAAATTTAGTACATATAAGTTAAAAATTCCAAAACTACCTACATATTCCAATCCTACACTCCGACAATAATCTTATTTCCAATTTTCAAGATACCAGCTCTATTGGTTCTCCCAGAAAAAAAATTGTACCACATTTAGTACCATTTAGTACAAATCCTCATAGCTACCTAAATACAGTCCAATAACAATCTTATTTTCAAATTTCAGGATTCCAACGCTACAGGTTCACCCAAATTTTAAATTGTACCAAATTTAGTACACATAAGTACAAATTTCTACATAACTTAGTCCTGCAATGCAATAGTAATCTTATTTCCAAATTCAATGATTCCAACTCTATTGGTTCTTCCCAAATTTGAATTGTACAAAATTTAGTACACATAGGTACGAACTTCTAAAGCTACCTGAATTCCTCAGTTCTAGAATGCAATACTAATCTTAAGCTGGAAATACATAAAGAGCATATTTGGCTGGCTTAAGTCATCGGCTGGCTTCTTCGTAGATGAACAAAGGAGTTTTAGGTTGACTTAGTTCGATTTTGGCCCTAGGCTCCTTTGTTCATTTCCGAAGAAGCCAGCCGATGACTTAAGCCAGCCAAATATGCTCTTTATGTATTTCCAGCTTTATTTTTAAATTTCAGAAGTTCAGCTCTATCGGTTCACTCAAATTAAAATTGTACCAAATAAGGTACAATTTAGTACTTTTCGTGCACATAAGTACAAATTTCGATAGCTTCCACTTTCAAAACTATCTACATGGACTCTACTCCTCAACCTTGACTTCCAATGGTACCAAATGTAGTACATTTTAGTACTTTTCGTACATTTATAGTGCGAATTTTGAAAAACCCTTTGATACATCTGTCATACACTCCATCAGTGACCCTCATTCCAAATGTAAGGGTTCTAGCTCTACTGCTTCCTCAAATAAACAGGGTACTATATTTGGAACCTTTTAATACTTTTCGTACAATTATAGTACGAATTTCAAAAAACCCAGCCTTATCTGACACCTTCGAGCCATGAGTGACCCTCAACCAAAAATTTCAAGATTCTAGCTTTAGCCGTATCGTCTAGGCATTGATGAATCCTTTAGTCAGCCAGTCAATTAAATTACTCATTTATATATTTTGGATTAAATTAAAAGAACAATCAACCTTTTTACAACTCCTCCATCAGATGGCAAAGTAATTATAGAAATGGGTTTATAAACAACATTTTTATGACATTACAACAAAACAAATTTGGGGGCCGTTAATTAATTTCCCCTTTTAATGGTATTTTTGTATTTGAATTCCAGACTTACGCTAATACGAAAACATTTCACCCTTTAGGAAGTCGCACCATTTTGTCATCAATTCTTTTAACATGTTATTAACACTTTAGGCTAAGTATAAAACGGAAGTGTAACTGGAGGATGTGTGTGCGTGGGGAGTAGTGAATGTGCGGGGCCAGCACATCCGTCAACCATCAAATGAAACAACCAACTAAAGTTGTTAAGTTGTCATTTAACTGCACTTTGAGCGACACAATTACATGTCAACAACACGCGTAGGCTCTTCATCAACAAATCGTCATGTGTGTGTGTAAATATAAAAAACACATGTCTATGTGTGTGCATGAGAGTGGGAGATTACTATGAACCAACACAATGAAGGCCAGAACAAAGAGGCACCAGAAAACCAGAATTGCATGGACACTTTATCATATAAACATGCCACAACGAGTACAACCGGAAACAACAACATTCTGTTTGTAACGGGCAGGCTAACGCGGACGACGTGTTTGAAAAGCCGCACGCATACGTGTCTACGTCGCTCACACACAACTACACATAGTCATACTCCGACCACGCGGACAAGAAATATTAAGTAAACTTACGTTTCATATCCGTGCGTTTTTTATTTGCTTTTCGTGCAATCTTTACAACGCCTTTACTGCCAACATCAACCTCACTCGTAGGTTGCAGCATCCTTTGCTCAGGGGAGCCAATTTTGTGTGGACCTCCATGGCAGACGGTAGACCTGTAGACTGGTTGGTTGGCTGGTTGATATATTAAAAACTGTGAACAAAGTGAAAAGAAGTAACCCTGTTACTTTCATCATCATGGTGGATATTAAATCCACATCGAACGCCGTATGGTGGATAAAAAACCCGTCACAACAAAGGCGACACTCCGAGTCGTTGGGCAACAAATTCGCGAAGGATATGACAGATTTATTTCGCAATATATCTTTGCATGCTTACAATAAATTTGTCGATTCGGGATTACTTTCATGCGAGAAGTAAGTATGGGAAAATGTTTGTCTGATCCTGTTATGAATATGCATATGTATGTGTGAGTTAATGTATGCATATAGGATGGTATGGGGAGTTCCATGGTTAACCAGTAAGGAAAGGTCAAAAGTCGGGCGGGGTCGAATATATGATACCCTACACCACTATGTTAAATACATGTAGAGCTCACGCTACAAAAACGTTTATATTGGGAATTTATGTGAAGTAGATTATACCAACTATGAACCAAATAGCATTGTTGTATACTGCATGATATGACTTCGGTAAGAATTATGTACATTAAAAAATATTTATTGGAGCAATAGATATACCGCACCAAGTTTCACCAAATGGCAAAATTCGGTTGAATATAAAAAAAATTATTCAATTTGGACTGATACATATGGTCAGCAATAACCATAAAATCGGATGAAGATGTATATCGAAGCTATGTAAAAATCTGAATCGATCTCGACAAAATTTGGCAGAGGTATTTTCGAGCACTATCTGATGCCCGGTATCAAATATCATATTTGTGGAGGGCATATTACGCATGTGAGGGATTTAAAACCCCAAATCTGATGAAACATATATATGGGAGCTATAGCTATATCTGAACCACATTTTCTCCAAACTTGATGTTCTGGCTTCTAGACTGAATTCGGTCGGATGTGCCAAAATTCAGGTCATTTGGACTGATATTAACCATCTGGCGCACAATAAACGTGAAATAGCTCGAAGATATATACAGGGTGAGATAAAAAAACTGTCGTTGGGCAACTTCAGACTGCTGTCATTTATAAGCCACTCGTCCAACAACTGTTAAAATTATTCCAGTGATAGCTCTTTATATTGTTTACAAGCGTAGAAAAGTATTTTGGTGAGAATTTATCAGAAAAAAAGTTATTCGTGATGGAATTAAATCGTGATAATGTAATTTCTTTATATTTGGCTGGAAGACTAGCCCGACGTCGAGGAAGTGGACGGAAGACAGCAACATCAGCATAAATGGTTCGAAAAGTAAAGAAGCTAATTGAACGAAACCTCGCAGTGGCCGAAAAATGGCTCGTGAGCTGAACATATCGCAATATTCCATTCGGCAAATATTGAAAAATGAGCTCGGCTCGGCTTTACCCATTGATATTCCAAAAAGTGCAAGAACTTACACCACAACAGAAAGAAAATAGACTCAAAATAGCTAAAGAGTTGCTTCGCTTGGCTAAAAGTGGTGAGCTGCCGAATTTTGTTTTCTCCGATGAGAAAACATTCGTTGTCCTCAGTTTGTAAACAAACAAAGTGATCGTGTTTACCTGCCGAAGAAGAACAAGATGTATATTTAGAGGTTCCAATGAACCAAAAAAATTTAAATATTCCTGATTTTGCAGCATCTCTTCAGGTCGCAATTAAAACCAATCGGTACGAAACATTGCATAAAGTTAGAGTTCAGGATGAGGCCTTAACAGAGGCCCAGCAAACCCACAGCGATTTTGTTACGATACTTTCCTGTATTACTGTGTGCAGGTCACTTTTAAGGACCATAGTCTCACTTATCGTGGATTTTTGGGTCATCCTTCGTGGCCCTTGCTTAAAAATCGTGGTCTTTGTAAAACCATTTTTCAAATCGCGGTTTCAAGTTTTTTTTTTTCAATAACCACAAACATATTTTTTCTACAAGGACCTCATATGGTCTTTACAAAAAATCATTTTCTAGGTATTTATATCAAATATCGTGGATTTTATGAGAACATCTTATTCCCGAAACCGGTGGGTTTTCGCGGATTTTATAAGGACCTCACGTCTGCAATACTCAAAAATAGTGAATTGTAAAATACCATTTTTTAAGGACCTCATCTCCAAAAATGACCAAATCGTGGATTATACAAAAAAAAAAACTTTTTTCAAGATCATCATGGTCCTTGCTCCATTTTTCAATAGCCTCAATCGTGAGTTTTGTAAGACCATTTTCTTATGCACGAAATTTGCAGATTTTGTAAGACTTTCAAGGATTTTAAGTCTAAAACTCATTGGTTTTTCAAAAACATTTTTATACACTCCGCCATTCTATGGAGGGTATATTATCTTTGTCATTCCGTTTGTAACTCCTCGAAATATTTTTAATAGACCCTACAAAGTATATGTGCTCTGGATAAGCGTAAGCTCCAAGGCGATATAGCGAGGTCCGTCTGTCTGTTGTAATCACGCAATCTCTCGAACGAATTGAGACAGAAGGCATACATCCATAGTTTACCAGTAGACAGGTTAAGTTCGTAAATGGGCCAAGTTTTTCGTTTTCGTATAGCCCCCATATAACGATACCTCCTGATATTCAGTATTTTCATGATTTTAGCGACAGTATTTACCGGAATTATTTCAAATTTGGTATTTGAAGTTCGTAATGGGTGCTACAGCTTATGACAAACGTCTTCGTATAGCCCCCATATTACGGTAGCTCCCGATATTCGGTATTTTGATGATTTCAGCAACATTATTCACCGTAATCGTTTTAAATTTCCTATTGGGAGATCTTAACGGTTACTACAACCTATGAGAAACAATTTCGTACGCAGGTCGTGGACCTGCCCCCTATATAACGGTACCTACCGATATTCGGTATTTTTATGATTTTAGCGGCAGTATTTACCGGAATTATTTCAAATTTCGTATTTGTAGTTCGTAATGGGTGCTACAGCTTATGACAAACGTCTTCGTATAGCCCCCATATTACGGTAGCTCCCGATATTCGGTATTTTGATGATTTCAGCAACATTATTCACCGTAATCGTTTTAAATTTCCTATTGGGAGATCTTAACGGTTACTACAACCTATGAGAAACAATTTCGTACGCAGGTCGTGGACCTGCCCCCTATATAACGGTACCTACCGATATTCGGTATTTTGATGATTTTAGCGACATTATCGACCGGATTCTTTTCAAATTTGGTATTTGAAGTTCGTAATGGGTACTACAGCCTATGACAAAAACTTCGTAAGCAGGTCCACGTCTTCGTATAGTCTGCATATAACAGTTTTCGTTTTTATTCAATATTCTCATTTTCATAAATAGTGGATTTTAATTTAAACCTTGCTTAAAAATCATCGAAAGCCCTATTTCAGTGGATTTTGTAAGACCGAGTTTCTAAGTAATTCACACCCAATAATCGTGGATTTAGTTATAAATAACCTCCTGGACAATATCACGAGTCTAATGTTTCAAAAACATCCTGGAGTTATAAGCTTGGTTGGTTGGGAATCTAAGTAATATTGATTATATCCATTAGGATTCTAAATTTCTTACGAGTGTCCCATACAGAAATTAATAGATATTAGTATTTATTTATGTTGGCGTTTGTTAGTGTGATCGTCATATACATATTCAGAGATACATATTCAGAGAGAGAAAAAATGAAATTTGCCATAAATCGACAGATTTCAGATTTTCATTCAATCGTTAAACACAACAATTTTTCTTATGTGTGTGTGTATGTTGACTCGTGTGTGTGTGTGAAGAGAAAATAATGAAATGAAAATAAATGTAAAGATATAACGTTTAAATATTTTGTAATTTGTTAGACTTTTATCATCACTCTGTGCATTCAGTTGCTTCCCTTACATATTTATCTACATATATTACATCACATGTTGTCGTCCGTTTTGCATGTATGTGCGTTCTGTCTTTCAGATTCATTTGGCTGTGCGTCCATGTGACCATTCTTTGTTTTATGTCCGTTGCATTGACATACACTTGGGATCAATTTGTCCTTCAACATTTCTCCATCAATTTGTACGACCCATTGTATCCAGTACAGAATGTTCCATTTCCGGCCGTATCAATATGTTCGAATAATCGCATTTCACGTAAAGCTGCTCTCCAATATGCCCAGGAGCTGTAAGTTATTGAATTAAAAAAAAATAAATTAAAGATAAAATTGTTATTTCACATATTTTCTTGTGATTTAACTTAAAACATTAAAAACGAATGTCACAAATCATTAGAGATTGAAACCATTTTTATTTGATTTGCTTCTTGCTTCTTTTTCTCCTTCCTCTTTCAGATCTAAACTGGATCCTGCTAAGCATTCGCCGGATTATTACATGGAACGCATTCTCTACTTTAACAGTTTTAACTACAGACACGATCGATTGGAGGGACATTTGGATTTTCGAGAATTTCAGAAGTTTCTCGATCATTATGGTACCAGCGACAATGAGACATTTTACAATATGTTGAAAGTCATGGAAAGGGTAATTTTGATTAAAAAAAATTACTTAATTTATAATTAACTAGCTGCCCCAGTCCGCGTTGCCGGCCCGTAGTTTTAGTCTTTAATGCATAGTTTTTAAAGCATAATAATTCACAGATCTGGTTCACATAAGCGACACAATTTTTAGTATAAATGACGACTCGACTTAATAGAATCACAAAAATGCCAATACGGTTCAAGTACCGGGCAATAAAAATTTTTTCAAAAAACCTGATCCTATTTTTCAGCCAGAGGTTTTAATTTGAGAGTTAAAAATCGAAATAATATAGCGCATGTATTAAAATGTATACATCTAATGTGCATAATGGCCCCATGTAAGATAGTTCTCTACCAAAGTAGTCTAAACATACAGTTTAAGCTAAATCGATTCGAAAATATAATCAAAACTCTCGAAATAGGAAAAATAAGGAGGTAATTGTATATATGCGCTACTCCGAAACATTGACATTGAAAAATTTCCGCGAAGAGGTATTCTACCCCCTTTAGAAGCTAAGGTGCCAAATAAGGGCATACTCAATTGAAAAATATGACCAAGACCCTATAAATAGCTGAAAACAGTGGATTCATTCATATAAGGGCTATACCAAAGCATGGTCCTATACTTATATTTATTTCAAAGAATGTATTGTCTTTCTAAAATCTCAAATTACCAACATTTGAGGAATTTGAAAGGGGCTTTATCATTTGAGGCCCTTTGGTATTGTTAGGCTATATAAAATGGACCCTAAAAAGTTTGATCCGGGAACCCCACAGTTGGGATTTTTATCTACCAACCGAAAAATTTCCCAATTCCATGATTGTCTGCGGCGCAGTGTAATTACTGACGATTTAAGGTTACGTTTAAGGGTTCGGAAGATTTTTCCGAGGATATGAATCCTTTTCTTACTAAATTTTCAATTCGCTCCACTATTTTGTATAGTTCGCATATTACAGTGCCTCTTCATATTCGATATTTCACTGATTGCAGTCTCAATGAATTTTGCATTTTGAGTTTTCATTGGATGGATTATTTCCACATCTAGTCAATTTTTTGGAGTTTTGGACCTCAGAATCGATAGTAATTTCTAAATTGAAATCCTGGCAATATGACTTTAATTTAACTATTATAAATAAAGTTTCATCAGCTTAAAAAAGTTAGGGACCCAATAAAATATGTTAAAGAGCAGAAGTATTTGTCGATTAAATTATGGCATGTTTTTGTTACAATTTCTACCGAATGAACTGTAATTTGACATTTAATGTTTTCAGTATTGTGAAATTGTATAGCCTTAATTTAAAAGTGCGTTGAGATTTTAAATGTTTTGATGCTTTTTTAATTAAAATTGAAAATTTTGGTATGGCAACCATATAACGGCATGTATAGAAAATATGCAAAATTTCTCGATTTTTCGGATTTTTTCAATTCCAAATCGCATTCTGAAACAATTCTATACAAAATTCCATATCAATATAGAACAGTAAATTTTTTCAGTTCCTCGATTTTTCCAAATGCTTTTCTGATTTTTTTTTGCAGAAAAAGAAAATTTGATTCAAATCGGCCCAGCCGTTCTCAACTGATGTGTTACTATACTCTTTTAATTTTTTACATACATATTTAAAGAAGTAGCTGCGGCCAGTTCCTCTGACCCCAAACAGATACCTAGGGTTGGAGGAAGAGTCAAGATTGCGTCGTATACTAACTGTGGAAAAGATATCTTCATGATTTTGGCAAATATTAGGATATTAGGTAAATCGAAAAAATGGACGTGAAATTGGGCGTGGTCACTTTTTCTTTGCATTAAAACCTAACTCTGGGTAGGACGAACATTAAAAAAAATATATATCCAAATCGTTCCAGCCTCATTTGTCTCAATTGTTCAATAACCAACAAACAACAATTTGTTTATATATAGATTAAAAAGTTGGCGTGGTCAGATCCTCAGGCCCCAAATTAATAAAATTAGGGATGGAGGAAAATCAACAGTATCTCGTGTAATTTTCAAACCGATATCTTCATTGTTTGGCAAATATAAAGATTTTAGATAAATATAAATAGTGGGCGTAAAAGTAAGCGTGGTTAATATTTTTAAAACCCTTACTCGGGGTATGAAGAACGTTTGCACAAAAAATTATGCAACTCGACCCAGCCGTTCTCAACTGATCCCATTACCAACGAACAACAATTGATTTTTATACCCTACAACACTATGTGTTGGGGGTATTATAAGTTTGATTGGGCCAGAATTTATGTAACACCTTGAAATATTGGTTTCCCATATAGGAAAGTATTTATGGATCTTCCTAGCTCGCCGAGCTGAGTCGATCTAGCTTTGTCCGTCCGTCCGTCCGTCTGTACGTCTGTCCGTCTGTCCATGTTAATTTGTAATCACTCTACAGGTCGCAATTATGGCCCGATCTTCACGAAATTTAGTATGGAGGTGGGGTTAATGTCAGAATAGAACCCTATTTCTTTTGGAGATGATCGCCAAATGTTTAGGGGTTGAAATGAACCAAATACTGAAAAAATGTCGGATTTTGCAGTAGCTATACAGGTCGCATTTATAGACCAATCGACGCGGAATTTCACATGTAGCTAGAGTTTAGGGCGGGGAAAAAGCCTACCAATTTGGGTGGTCATCGGATTATATTTAGCGGGTAAAATAGACCATATCTTTTGTATTGAAAAAAATCGAAATTTTTCATTAAACTGCGAATATTTTAAATCCCGGCGAAATCACAAAGCCATTACAGGGTTACTTCTGATCTTTACATTGATGTTAACATCCAACAAATCGGATATATAGCAAAATATGTGCGATATACATGTCTATCAAAGAAGATATGCTTGAAAGATCTCTTTTATGTCGAGAACGCCTGAACTGATTTCGACAGTTCTCATTAATTCAGAATGGCCTCTTGGTAGAAAAGAAAAAACGCCTAAAAAATCGCATAAAAATATCTCTCTAAAGATGAATATATTGATTTTGTAAAATTTTCTCATATTTTTTCAATTTTGTCATATTTTTGGCATTTTTTCATTTTGAATTAAACATTTGGTAATATTTCTACGGCTAACAAAACTAATTAGTTAGGATATCAGGATATCATATACAGATCGCATTTATGGCCCGATCCTTACGAAATTTTGCATGGGGATAAGATGAGGGTCAGAATAGAAGCCTACTCTTTTTGGAGATGATCGCCATATATTTAGGGTTGAAATGGACCAAAAAACTGCAAAATTGTCAGCAGGTCGTAATTATCGCCCGATCCTGCTGCACATTTGAATGGGGGTTACCGGACATTGCAAAAGCCAAGCAGTTTTGGATGGCCATCCAAAAATATTCAATGTGTGCAATAGTTTTCCAACTTTTGTAGACAAAATACGAAAATGTCCATTCCAGTGACTTTTTGGAGAATTCACAAATACAGGAAAGACGCACTTCTGACTATTTCGTTAACGCTGATTTCGTTGAAGAATATAGTCAAATGGCTGTATCTCATATAGATGCGTTTCAGTCAAAAACCAATAATAAATGTTAATCTTTTGCCACTTCTGAGAGATTATAGGTCTTTGGGAAATATTGGTTCCAGATCTAAGAAGGCCATTTAAGTGCAACCTCTACCAATAAATTGGAAATGAGCAAATTAGTTTAAGTTGCTATTATCCGAAAATTAGACAACGAAACCTGATGATTTTCTTTTATTATTTGTCACAATATCTTGTGGAATTCTTTCGAGTATCTCGCCTATATGAACTGTATCGTTTATTATAGTGTTGTAGGGTATTCAACGGTCGGCCCCGCTCGACTGTAGCCTTTGCTTACTTGTTATATATATATAGATAATTTTTATACGATTATTACATGCTGTTACCAAACATTTTCAAGATGAATTTTAACATCTTAGCGTTTGGAAATTGAGCGGAATTTTATAAGTAGTTTGAGATTCTTGCAAAAAATCATTGGGATTTTTGAAAGTAATTTCATGACCTAACCAGCATGGATGGGACAAAAGCGGGCGGGTTGGATTGTATGATACCCTACACAAATATGCATATGATTATCATTTCGAAAGCAATGCAGAACCAGTAAAGAAAGTTTTAAAGTCGGGCGTTGCCGACTTTATGATACCCTACACCACTTTACATGTTTAGTAGAGGTGCACATATTAAATAAAAGTTTTTAGGGGGAATTTGTGAGACTTAAATCATGCCAACTATGATTATAGTTATAATTTTAAGTCCAAAGGAACTAATATATTAGAGGAATATCCTCCTCTGAATTGATTTCTACTAAATTTGCCTAGGCATTTGTGTCTCTCAATTCGGGTTTATATTACCAAGTTGGTGCATAATTAACTTGATATCGGATAAATATATATATGGGAGCTATATCCAAATCTCAATTGATCTTGATAAAATTTTCCAAAGGCATTTCTGAGCTATATTTGATATATTTCCCTGAATATCGTTGTTACAGAGTGCATATTACGGCTGTGAAGAACAAATATAACAAATCGGATGAAAAATATATGTGGGAGCTATAGCCAAATCTGAACTGATTATCATCAAATTTGATATACTTGTGTCTAGACTCAATTTGGTCGTAAATTCCATCCCATTTGGACTAATATTGCACGTTCACGTGGTGTTCAATTAAAGGCAAATCGGACGAAGACATATATCGGAGCTATATTCAAATCTGAACCTATCTCGATAAAATTTAGCAAAGGTATTTCTAAGCTTTATTTGATATCGTTGTTAAAAAGTGCATATTACGGCTGCGGAGGACAAAAATAACAAATCGGATGAACAATATATATGAGAGCTATAGCTATACCTAAGCCGATTTCGATAAAATTTCATATCATTTGGTTTGATATTACACGCTTGGTGCACAATAAGAGGGACATCGGTTGAAGATATATATGGGAGCTATATCTAAATTTTGATCGATTATCTCCAATGTAAATAGGGTTCGTCCTTGAGCCAAACAAATGATTTCTGCAAAATTTCATCCGTATCGGGCAATAAATAAAATACATAGGCGGACGGACGGACATGCATAAATCGACTCAGAATGTGATTCTATGCAGATCATCAAAATGTATATATGTGGATCTACAGGGTGAAATAAAAAACTGCAACAAAGTCAAACGCCATACTTTTTACATTTTTTAAAATTTTATTGAATGAAATCAAAAAATGTCGGAAATAGCATTAAATATCGAATTGGTCACCTTTGGCACGAATTATGGCCTTCAGACGGCCAATGAAATCGTCACACCCTGCCCGAATGTTGCTCTGCGATCAAAGCCCATTCCCGGCGAAGCGCTTGCTTGAGGTGGTCGACACTTTGGTATTTGTTAGTGCCAACCATGCTTTCCAAAATACTCCAGACACAATATCCGGAGATTTTGGTGGCCATTGTGTGCTAGAAATGAAGCGAGGAACCTCATTTTGTAACCATTCTTCGGTGGCGCGTGCTGAGTGCGATGGTGCTGAGTCCTGTTGGAATGCCCAAGGTCTGCGGCCAAAATGTTTGCGTGCCCAAGGCTTTAATACACCCTCCAGAAATATTTCGCGGAGAGCGACCCTCGGCTTTTATGGCGGCCCACACCATCACTAGCGCTTGAGTTTTGGTGACCAATCGAAGGTGCACATTTTCAGCTGACCTCTTTGGCAAGTAAACACGATCATTTTGTTTGTTTACAAACTGCTGGACAACGAATGTTTTCTCATCGGAGAAAACCATATTCGGTAGTTTACAACTCCTTAGCTCTTTTGAGTCTATTTTCTTTCTGTTGCGGTGTAAGTTCTTGCTCTTTTTGGAATTTCAATGGCTTGACCCCGAGCTCAATATTCAATATTTGCCGAATGGAATATTGCGGTATGTTCAGCTCATGAGCCATTTTCGGCCACTGCGAGGCGGGTTTCGATCAAGTTGTTTCCTTACTTTTCGAACCATTTCTGTTGATGTTGTTGTTTTCTTCCGTCCACTTCCTTGACGTCGGGCTACACTTCCAGTATCACGGTAACGAGCGATGTTACGAGACACAAAAGATTTATTCCCATTTAAATGCTGGAGTGGTTTTCCAGCCAAATATAAGGAAATCACACTATCACGCTGGAATTCCATCACGAATAACTTCTGTTCTGGAATATTCTCAGCAAGCGAGCTTAGAATTCGGTTTTAGTTTTTGCATCTCACTCTGTATATTTTTATATATTTTATATTTCTTTTTATTTTAAATGTATAAAATTGGGCTACAATTACAATTTTTAGCTAACACCGAAATGCGAAGATTTTATATTGGCCTGTATGTTGGGTGCGAAAAGGGTGAATTGTTTCGAAGAAAAGACCTTTCAGACCAAACTGACCATGTATGGACCCTGCTGCATGTTCAACTCAAATGATAGGTGGGTGAGAAGAATAAATTAGAAATAATTAATTTTTAATTTGCTCTTTCATTTCTCCTCGAACAACAAGCTATAGAGAACGTACATATCGTACCCGTTTCTCGGGCTCAGGAATGGGCCTGATTGTTGTCATGAATACCAGTCACGCCGATGATATGGCCAATTTGCTGAGCATGGATGGCTATGCTGTTATTATACATGCACCCAATCGATTTCCTGAAATATCTTCGGGCAGTAGTCTGGAGGTGTTTCCCAATATCAACGAAGAGACGTTTATTGCGTTGAAGGCGAGGGTTTTGGACGGCAGCGATAAGTTGCGGTCATTTGCTGCATCACATGTAGGTTAAGAAGAACAAATTGGGTTCCCCTTGAAACCAACTCTCTACTAATTTTCCTTCCTTTAGCGTAAATGTTACTTCGACGATGAGGTGCCGCTGGCCAATATGTTGGTGAATAATAAGTATTCAATGTCCAATTGCATAACACGTTGCCGTGCCCGTAGCGTAATGGCCCTTTGCAATTGCATACCTTTCTATACGCCACTGTCGTTGGTCGACGAATCGGATGGGGTACCCTTTTGTACCTTGGGCAATATTGAGTGTATGCAGCAGTATAAATGTAAGTACATTTTAGACGAATTTTTTAACATACATATAGAAATTGAAAACAAAGTTTGTCGTAGTATTTGTAATGCCGGGTAATAATTGTTGTATTTGTGATGCCTAGTTGAGGTATGGTGAGCGTATATGTTATAACGATAATCATACGCCTAGAGGTGCTTTGATTGGTAAGACTGTGCAACACATAAAATAATTATGGGAAAATCCAGCAGATAATGAAAGTAGCGCTAAAACTAGAAGACACATGTAACGACGTTTTGAAAGTTTACATCGAAAAGTAAACAAAATATATGGGGGATTCCCCCCTCTTCCAAACATTTGGCAATTTCCAGATTAAGATTCCTCGAAATGCATCAATTTTTAGATATATAGTGTCTTCGGCAATATTGCAGATACAAATACAAGGAATATTTTGGGTATTAATACTGAATCGAGCCATGAAAGGGATATTTTTGGTCCTTTTTTAAAAATATGATTAACAACTTCCTTTAATACGGGTGAGATAAAAAAAAAACTGAAACAAAGTCAAACGCCATAATTTTTACATTTCTTTTAATTTTATTGAATGAAAGCAAAAAATGTCGGAAATAGCATCAAATCTTAGAATAAGTTTAGATTTGTTCAAATTGGTTACCTTTGGCATGAATTATGTCGAACGGCAAATGAAACCATCACACGCTGCCCGAATGTTGCTCTGCGGTATTTTGGCCCATTCCCGGTGAAGCGCTTGCTTGAGGTGATCGTTACTTTGGTATTTTTTAGTGCCAACCTTGCTTTCCGAAATACTCCAGACACAATAGTCCAATGGATTGGTATCCAGAGATTTTGTTGACCATTGTGAGCTGTAAATGAAGCGAGGAACCTAATTTCGTAACCATTCTATGGTGGCGCGTGCTGAGTGCGATAGTGCTGAATCCTGTTGGAATGTCCAAGATCTGCGGACAAAATGTATGCGTGCCCAAGGCTTTAATACACCAAAAGTGTGGAACAGAGAGAACTTGCCCCCTCTGGTTTGGTTACTTTTCAGTGTAAACTTTCATGTCTCGTGTCTCCTCTTTTTAGGCCCACCATTATTATCGTAATTATTAAAAAAAATTCTCGCACAGTTTAATTTTATTATTAAACATTTTGGGAATCTGATTTACTTCGCATATGTAGAAAAGATGGCATTATTACGAAGATATACATGAAGTCTCTTAGAATAGACCTACAGAATACGTTGTATCTTTAGAAGAGAGAAGGTCTTAAATTTACAAAAGAGGGTTATTCATTTATCCATAGAGTATTCATAGAATACATTTTTATAAAGAAGATCATCAATATCAATAGGAGGCCCAATCTAAAAGATATGTATAAGAGAACTATCAATATAAGATTTGTATAACATTTTGAGTCCATAGAATACCTATTGAGTCTATAAAAAATTGATTGGGCCACCTATCTATATATGGTGCGCAGAAGCCAGAAAACCTTCAGAAGGCTTCCTTTCTACTGAATACTTAGTGGAGGTGTCGTTTCGTTGGAGAACTAGGGAAGGTCTACTGCCTGCAGGACTTATATACGGAAGGTCTACCTTCAATGGTAGACATGTGGAAGGTTTTCGTCTATGCCCGGAGTGGGCTTCTTTTAATAGAAACTTGGAAGGGCTTCCATTAAATCTAAGGACTAACAGAGCTCTTTTAGCTATAAAGTGTTAATTGGTAATCTTCTATCAATTTACGATTATGAGCCTCCTAAAATATTCCTCATCAACGAGTTTGGTTCCTCTAGGGCTTTGATATTTAAAATAAATAAAATATTTAAAAAAAAAAATCACGATTGAGGCCCTGACGATTTTAACGCGCCTTCTAAAAAAATTCAATGTTGTGGGTATTTAAACAATGTTATTAAAATAGCCAACCATATCATAACAATAATGGGCCTTGGTAAAATATTTTTAAAAATTCCACAGTTTTGACCCTGATGGGCATCGAAAACAATTCATAAATCCACATCCACGATAATTGCATTGATGGACCCAACAAAAAATATCCTTAAAAATCCTTCCAAAATTTGTTCTTCAAAATCCTCAAAAAATGATTATTTACTGATGAGAATATATTTGTTAAACTTTAAAAACAAAATTCCAAACCCAAAAGTTTCAAAAACTTTCACTAAAAGTAAAATATCTTACTTCTACTTGTAGTTAAATGGCGTAACGTATTAACGGAACACATTGAATTCGCCGGCTTAGAGCGTGAAAATGAGGAGGCTCTTCTCTGTCCACAATGTCTGCAATCGTGTGATGATATACACTACGATATTTCAATGATGTCCTTGCCAGCTGATCGCGTTTCGTTGCCAAAGGGTATCGAGTAAGTAGTTATGTATATTCTTACTTACTTTTTCGACATATAACACTTGATCTCCTTTGAATTCAATATTTGTGATTTCAGTGTAGATCTCAATATTTCGGAAATATCTGTTCTGAAGGTATTTTTTGGTGAAACGGCTGTTCCGTACTACAAACGTGTCGTCACAAATACTTGGGTAGAAGCTACAAGTAAGTTTAGATAATTTTGAACATCGATAGAGACATGGTACAATTACGGAAGGTAGAACAAAGCTACCTCCTACGTATAATTGTATTTGCCCTCATTCTGTCAAATATATAGCTTGCGTTGAATAAAAAAGAAAATCATTTAAAGGCAACGAAATGTATAATTTTGGGATAGAAAAATAGGGTCCTTCTATCTTGTATTCAATGGAATATATTTTGTGTTTTTTTTTTTTTCAGGATAATAATTTTGTGAAAAAAAATGTAATATAAACAAAACCCTTTGTGGCATGTTTAAAAGTCTGTTTGACACAATAATACTCCAGTACAGAGCTGCGTTTTTTCTAGCCATAGAATAGATACACAATTTTTCAACACAACAGGATTTATTTATTTTCGTAGAAAAAAATCAATTGGAAAGGTTTTCTGAAGGAATATATATAAAATGCTGAAATTTGATAGTGCTGAAATTGTTCCAAAAATACTAAATTTGTGGTTAAGTTATTTTGGAAATGTGTTCGATAATTGTTCGAAAAGTACTAAGTGGGACAAAATTTGGTATTGAGGGAAGGAATGTAGCTGGAATCCTAAATTTTGAAATTGAGGTCTCTGGGATTGAGATATTGTGGTGGGAAAGGCGTTCTATAATTGTTCTGAAAGAACTAAATGGTACTAAAGGTAAAGGATAGAGCTGAAATCCTAGAGTTGATAGGTACACTGGTGACCAAAACTAAAGCAACTGAAATTACAAGGAGAATGAATGCCCTGTAACTTTTTCAAAAATTAAGAAAATGAGAAAGTTTTTCTTGTTTTGAATTAGGTACTTTATTCACTTTTTAAAAACCTAAAACATAAAACCAAAATTCATTTTTATATAAAAAATAATGTTTGGTAAAGTCAATTAATTTTTTTAAGTACTGCCCAAAAAAAAATTAAAAAATGGCTAGAAGCAAATACAGTACCTGAATAAAACAGCAAATTATCAGTGACTATCAAAACAACATATCACAGAAAATGATTTCCGAGAAATATTTCATAAATATTTATGTGATTTCATAATTATTTCTGTATACTAAGTCGGTTTTTTGAAACTGGATCAGTAGTAACCGTCTATAACGGATGAAGGTCGTGAAAAACTTCAGCCCATACTGATCCACAAATTGTAAGAGAAATAAAAAAACAACCATTTAAGAGTTCAACTGGATTGGTGAGAGAGCAATCATTGGATATAAGCTCGAGATCAGTGCGTAGACGAGTAGTGGCAGCTGGCATGCCCGTAAGACATCAAAAAAGCCATTTATATCTGAAAAAATCATAAAGGCTTTCGGAAACAATAATATTAAGTGGAATCAAGCTCAATGGAAAAACATTATTTATGGGATGAGTCTACGTTTAATATTAAAGGCTCAGACGTGAAAAAATTTTATGCTGAGTAGACCAAAAAATGAAGGACTCAAGCCGCAGTGTTGCAAAGGTACAGTGAAGCATGAGGGAAGGTCAAAAATGACGTGGCGCTGTTTTTCTTTCTATGGACTTGGGTCTATCCATGAAATAAAGGAAGTTATGGATCGGTTTGTTTCCAAAGATGTGTTAGACATCACGATGTTCCCTTGCGCTGAGTAAAACATTCGGCTCATTTGGGTGTTTCAGCATGAAAATGATCCCAAACTTGCATAAAAACTTGTCAAATATTGGTTGCTGGAGTCAAAAATCGATGTTTTGTCATGGCCGGCACAATCACCTGACCTAAACTCCATAGAAAACCTTTGGAGTATCGTAGATAGGAAAATCAAGCGAGATTTGGAAACAAATAGCAAAACATTTTCTAAAGAATTCGGGATGCCTGGGAAAGCATACCCAAGGATCAAATTGAGCGTGTTATAGATTCAATGCCTCGTAGGTATGCAGGTGCTATCAAAAATAATGGATCCTATGACTACTAGCCAAAATTTAATTATTTTAAAATAAAAAATCAAAAAGTTGCTTTAGTTTTGACCAAGCAAAAATTGGGTCATTTTAGTTTTCCATATATTATTTTTCGTTCAAAATTATTTTTGTATTTTTATTTCTAGTCTCTTAAAAGTGAATTAAAGACCTCATTTAAAACTGGAAAAATAATTACGATTTGTTTATTTTTGTAAAAGTTATAGGACATCTATTGTCTTTACGATTTTAGTTGCTTTAGTTTTGGCCATCAGTGTATGTCACTATTTTTGTCTGGTTGAGGGAAGAAGCTGGTTTCGTATATGCGTACGATAATTGTACTAAATAGTACTAAACATGGTAATGAGTGAAATTACAGAACTGAAATTCTCAAATTGATGTGTATGTTGGTATCTGGAATTGAGATATGGAGGTGATCTTGGAAATGTTTACCATTATTATTCGAAAAGTACTAAGTGGTATTAAAGTCGGTATTGGGTGAGAGAATAGAGCTGAAATTTGGTATTTAAATAACAGTAGGTATCTGAGGTTGAGATTGGGAGGTGGGTGGTGTTGGGAGATGCGTACTATATTTGCTCGAACTAAATTTGGAATTACTAAACTGAACTAAAACTGGGATTGAGATATCGAAAGGTTTTTCAAATAAGTACTAAAATTGTACCAAATGTACTAAATTTGGTATTGAGTGAATGTATAGTGCTGGAATCCCGACATTTGATATTGAGGTCTCTGTTGGTATCTGTATTGTAAATGAGTTTTATAATTGTTCGAAAAGTACTGAATGGTATTAATTATGGATCAATGTTGGTGTCGAGGGTGGAGATAGATTGTTTGAATACTAAATGTTTGATTTTGATGTCACTGTTGATTGCTAGGGCTTACATGTGGAGACGTTGGAATAGTTTTGGATAGAAAAATTGTATATGTGTAATGGTCTAGTCAACTATAAATAATATTGAACACCTTGAAAGTCTGAAAATTTAGTACGATTTATGAAGTTATGATTGGGAAATTTTGTCAAAAAGAAAAATTGAACTTTGTGTACTAAAAATGCCTTAGACGAACTATTGGAGCGAATCTAAATTTTTAATATGGACTTTTCGTTGACGAAGTAGTGGGCACTTGCAAGTAAATTGATAAAGTTTTGATTTATTTCATATAAACAGTATTCAATATTACCCCCTGAAAAGTAACATGTTTTAAAATATTACCCGCTTTTAGGGTCTGCTGAAATCTCTCAAAATATTTCGCAAGATTTTATTCACTGAGAAATCAAATAATAAGTTTGTTGGGGAACTGCGTCAGAAACCTTTATACCTAAGCATGGATCGATATGTCCCATTTTCACTACCAAGCATCCAAGGGGTTATATCAATGTCTGAACAAAATGTCAAAACGACAGAATGCTTTCCTGAATTTATATTCATTTTATATCCTCCACCATAGTACGGAGGGTATATTAATTTTGTCATTCCATTTGTATCACTTCGAAAAATACATTTTAGACCCCACAAAGTATATATATTCTTGATCAGCATAAAATTCTATGTCGATTTAGCGATGTCCGTCCGTCTGTGGAAATCAATTTAGCTTCGGAACGAAATGAAGTAGATTGATAAAATTTTACTCAAATGTATATTATATCTGCACGACTTTTGGTATTGAAAATGGGCCATGTAGGTCCACGTTTTGGTATAACCCCCATATAACGGTACTTCCCGATATTCGGTATTTTGATGATTTTAGCGACATTATTCACCGGAATTGTTTTATATTTGGTATTTGAAGTACGAAATGGATACTACAGTCTAAGACAGAAAAATTTTTGTGCAGGTTCACGTCTTTGTATAGCCCCCATATAAGGGTGCCTCCCGATATTCGGTATTTTTATATTTTTAGCAACATTATTCACCGATTTTTTTTTAAGTTTCGCATTTGAATATTGTAATGGCTTATGACAAAAGTTGCCTATGCATATTCTCGTCATCGTATAGACCCTAATTTAACGGCTACATTAAGTATTTTTAAGATTTTAACAGAATTTTTAACGGATTTTATTTTTTTTTAAATAAACAAATTCGTTACAAATTTTACAAAGGACTTACAGCTATTTTACTTGCTTTGTTTAAGGTTCTCAACCACTATGCGCTGTTTTCACGTGTTGTTGGTATTTATTGAATGTCACATTTATGAAAGGATGCGTATAATTGTTATAACAAGCATTGCAACATACATATCGCTTACATTAAAACAACAACATTTACTAAAAGGTGTTACCCGACAAGCTTTGTGTATTAATTAAATATTCAAATATTGGCCAATAAAATATTATGAACTGTGTGTGTGTGTCATGCGGAACATAATCATTTGAAAATTCAAACATACGCATCACCATATCCTCCAATAATCCCAATTCAAAACAAGAAGAACAACAACAAATGTTGTCATTGAAAATCATTTCTGTTTCTAGTCAAATGGCGTAACGTGCTCACCGAACGAACCCAGATCGATGGGTTAGAACGGGAACGTGAGGAAGCTCTATATTGCACCGAATGCCTGCCCTCGTGTAAAGATGTACGCTACAGCGTTTCAGCTATGGCATTACCCATAGATAGTTATACCTTCCAAAAGGGTCTCATGTAAGTATTTTTTTGTGGGGGTGGGGGAGGAGGAAGACAATTTTAATGTGCCTGCATCACAGATGTTCGCAGGACATGTTATGAATAGAATTACCATCAAATAATACCATGTGTTTCAATAAATATGACCTTTGGATTTTTTGTGTTTGTTTTACATTTCCGTTTCTGGTTTGTTGTCATTAATAATTTTTTTTTTCAAATCGATATCTGACCCAGTGACCGTGGCTTTCAAAAAAACCATACAGAACTATCGGTGGTGCGTGTATTTTTTGACGAAACGACCTCGCCGTATTACATGCGGATCATCACAAATTCATGGGTGGAGTCATTGAGTAAGTCTGCAATAAAATATTTGAAAAATGAGAAAAGAAATGAGAGAAAGCAGTTATGAATTTAAATTGCTTTTCAAATCGTGTATTATTTAGTAGAAGTTTTCGTTTTTTTGTATGTTTTAATAACCAATTATCATAATATTAAATATTTACCTTTTACACCACAAAGTCTTCAAAACCTTACATTTTGTAATTCGGTGAGAAGAATATCAGTAACACCATTGTACAATGGACCCATACCAAATTTTTCTGTCCAAAACTATTTGAACGTTTCCAAATTTAAGAACTTCAGCTCTATCCCGTCATCGAATACCAAATTAAGTAACATTTAGTAGGCATATCCAAAACAATCTGCATCGCTCCAACCTAGACACCAACAGGAATCCAAAAAAGTACCATTCACTACTTTTCCTACACATTTCGAAACCCACCTCTATATCTCAATCCCAGATACCTACAGAGACCACATTATCAAATTTGAGGATTCCAGCTCAATCCCTTCCCTCAATATCCAATTTAGTACCATTTAATACTTTTCGAACAATTATGGTACACATTTCCAAAACCACCTCTATACCTTAAGCACATACACAGATCAAATTTCGGGATTCCAGCTCTATCCCTTCATCCAATACCAAATTTAGTTCTATTTAGTACTATTCGTACAATTATGGTACACATTTTCAAAACAATATCCCTATCTCAACATCAGACACCAACAGTAACGTTAATATCAAATTTTAGGATTAAACCTCTGCAATTTCCCGTGTTTCAAAATGTAGTACCATTTAGTACAATTATAGCATTTATTTCCAATACTAACTCTATAGCTTAACCACAGAATTTAAGCTCTATTTCTTTACCCAGTACTCAATTTAGTACCACTTAATACTATCTGAACAATTGTAGTACACATTTTCAAAACCTCCTTCATATCTCAATCCTAAATACCAACAGAGACCTCAATATCAAATTTCAACACTATTCCTGCACCCAATACCAAATGTGTTACTTTAGTACAATCTGCAATCTCAACCTCAGATAACAATATATACCTCAATATCAAATTTCGGAATTCCAGTTCTATACTTTCACCTAAATTTAATACCATTTAGTACAATTATAGTACGCATGTCCAAAACAAGCTCCTTCTCTCAACGACTGGCACCAACAGTGACATCAAATCTAATTTGAGGATTCCAGCTCTATCCCTTCATCCAATACCAAATATAGTACCTTTCAATATTTTTCGTACAATTAAAGTATCATTTCTGCAATAAGTTCCATATGTCCAGGCTACACATGATCAGTGACCCTAAAGTCTAATTTCAGAATCCAAACACATTCTGTTCACTCAATACCAAACTGTATTAAATATAGTACTATTTAGTACATTTCGTACATTTGCAGTACCCATTTCCAAAACCATCTCTTCATTAGAATACGAACATCAACAGGGACCCCAATACAAAATTTCAGCTGCATTCATTCACCCTAAACCAAACTATTCCAAATTCGGTACCATTTAGTGAAGTTCTCTCACTTAGTACACATTTCCAACGTTTCAACCCTAATTCTCATACAAAATTTGTAGCTTTATCCGTTCACATAATACCAAATTGTACCATTTTAGAAGTTTAGAAACATTTTAGTACATTTCCTAAATTTAAAGTTCGAGTTTCCAATAAACCTTTGGTGCATCTATCCTGCACTCCTTTAGACACTCTCATTCCAAAATGAAGAATTCCAGCTCCATCGGTTGATCGCAATTGTAATTTGTACCAAATTTACCAATTTGTACCAAATTACCATATAGTACACAAAAGTACGAATTTCCTAAGCTTCCTAAATAACCAAGTCCTACAGTAATGTTAATTCCAAATTTCAGGATTCCAGCTTTATCGGTTCACTTAAATCTAAATTATACCAAATTTAGTACATTTTATTACATATAAGTACAAATTTCCAAAACAACCTACATGCCCACAAACTACATCCCACACTCTGACAGTAATCTTATTTCCAGTTTTCAGGATACCAGCTCTATTGGTTTACCCAAATCCAAATTGTACCAAATATTGTACAATTTAGTACACTTACGTACTAATTTTCATAACTACCTACATCATACAGTCCAATAGAAATCTTTTTTCTAATTTTCCGGTTCTCCCAAAATTTAAATTGTACCAAATTTAGTATCATTTGGTACACATAAGTACGAATTTCCAAATTTTTTACCTCAGTCCAATATTGCAATAGTAATACTTTTTTTTTCCAAATTTCAGGATTCCAACTCTATTGGTTCGTCCAAAATTTAATTTGTACCAAATATGTTACCATTTAGTACACATAAATACGAATTTCCAAAACTACCTACATTTCTTAGTCCTAGAATGCAAAAGTAATCTTATTTCTAAATTTCAGAATTCGAGCTCTATCGGTTCACTCAAATCGAAATTGTACCAAATTGAGTACTTTTCGTCCACATAAGTACACATTTTGGAAACTTCAGCCATATCCCAACTCTACACACCCCTTAGTAATATTAATCCATTTGTTCCTCCAAATTCAAATTGTACTAAATTTAGTACCGTTTAGTACTTTTGGTATTCATGAGTACACATTTCCCAAACTACCTCCTTACATCGACTCTACTCCTCAATCTTGATTCAAATTCAAATTTCTAGGTTTTAGCTTTTACCGTTCACTTCAAAAGAAATGGTACCAATTTCAGTCATTTTCTTACACTTACAGTGCGACCCTTTTGATACATCTATCATACATTCTATTAGTGACCCACATTCAAAATTTAAGAATTATAGCTCACTTCGTTTGTCCTGTATTCAATTTTTAGTACATTTTAGTACTCCTTGTACCCTTTTAGTACGAATTTCCAAAACCCAACCAAGACTAAACCTCGTGGAAAATTTCAAGATTCTAGGTTTGGGCATTCTAGGTCTGTGCACTCATTCTAGATCAGTGGAAATAAATAATTTTGTGCTGCCAAAATGTTAATCATTTCCTTGAACGAAATCCGTTTCACGACGTTTGGGGTCAACGTGAACAATATTGCACCAATCCAGGCTGCTATCTTTTCTATATAGATTAAAAAAATATATATCTAACTCTCCTAAAATCCTCAATACTTCCATAGTATTACTCCCATTACCAAAATTAGACCTTATGTGGAAATTGAATATATTTAATACCTTCCCCAGAAATGGTCAGAATTTTGAAAACTTCTACATCTCTATATACAGGATGAGATGAAAAACTGCAACCAACTTCAGACTGCTATCGTTTATAAGCCAATCCGATAGCTGCTAAATTTATTCCAGTGACAGCTCATTATATTGTTTACAAGCGTACAAAGGCATTTGGTGAGAATTTTCCAGAATGAAAATTCAAGCGCGATAGTGTGCTTTCTTTGTGTTTGGCTGGAAAACCGCAAGTGGCTATCGTTAGAGCACTCCAGCATTTAAATGTGAAACAATGTGCAACAACTTGCACCGCAACGGAAAGAAAATAGACTCAAAAGAGCTAAAGAGTTGCTTCGCTTGTCCGAAAGCTGTCGAATTTGATTTTCTCCTATTAGAAAACATTCGTTGCCCAGCAGTTTGTAAACAAACACAATGATCGTGTTTACTTGCCAAAGAGGTCAGCTGAAAATGTGCACCTTCGGTTGGCCACCGGAACTCAAGCGCCGGCCATGGGGATGGTGTGGGCCGCCATAACAGCCGATGGTCGCTCTCCGCTCGTATTAATCGACCGTGGCATCAGAATAAATGGCCGCAGACCTTGGACATTTCAACAGGATTGTTGGTCAGCACGTGTCAACCAAGAATGGTTACAAAATGAAGTTCCTCCACCAAAATCTCCGGATACCAATCCGTTGGACTATTGTGTCTGGAGTATTTTGGAAAGCAAGGTTGGCACTAAAAATACCAAAGTGTCAAGCAAGCGTATCGCCGGGAATAGACCACAATACCGCAGAGCAACATTCAGGCAGCGCCTGACTGTTTCATTGGCCGTTTGAATGCCATAATTCGTGCCAAAGGTTATTTCCGAACTTTTTTTGCTTTCATTCAATAAAATTTAAAAAAGAATGTAAAAATTATAAGATTGTAAAGAATATAATGAGCTGTCACTGGAATAATTTTAAGAACTTTCGGGCGAATGACTTGAAAGCAGCAGTCTGAAGTTGGTTGCAGTTTAGTATATATAAAGATGTAGAAGTTTTCAAAATTCTGACCATTTCTGGGGAAGGTATTAGGTATATTAAATTTTCACATAAGATCTAATTTTGGTACAAATATAGAAGTGATGGGAGTAATACTATGGACGTATTGAGGATTTTAGGAGAGTTAGAAATATATATTTTTTTAATCTGTATTGAAAAGATAGCTGCCTGGAGTGGTGCTGTTTTCAGGCTTCTATTATACATAAACAAGTAAGCAAAGGCTATAGTCGTGCGGGGCCGACCATTTGATACCCTACAACACTACAATATGTTAGAAGCCCCCTTATGTCCGAATACATTTTGGAATATTTCGCTTTTGAAATTACATCATGGAGAACCGCCCAGATATTACCCTTAGCGTTTTGACCAGGGACATTTTCCCAATATTTACGCACTCCGACGTTCTATTAGTTGTTGTGGTCCATTTATACCAATGGTTATCCAAAATGCTAGAATTCTTCCCTGTTCTTAACTCTCTTCAATTGTGTGAGCAGATTTTTTTTTGTTTTTGGTTCATTTGAACCCCTAAATATTTTGCGATCAACTCCAAAAGCAAGAGGTCCCTCTGTATCACCAAATTTAAACTCATCTATATGATTTGCTTGTCTACGATATTTGTCTTTATTCATCAAATTTCGGATATCGCCTGTATGTAATGTTGGCATTTTTACACACAAAAGTAGTGGTCCATTCTACTCGCTGTCCTAAACTCTATCTTAATGCGAGATTTCCTTTGGATTCACTTTGTTAACTTTATAACTGCTGCAAAATCAGGATCATTTTTAGTTGTTGGTCCATTTCAACCCGTAATAGATTGCGGACATCTTTGAAAACAATTCTACCCTTGTGAAAATTTTCGTGAGGATCGGACGATAATTGCAATCTGTATATAATATCCCCACCTGTGTTGTAAGGTGAAAAAATGTTACAAAATTTATACTTCAATATTATAAGTCAAATTGAAAAAATCGCATGCGATAAAAAATATGAAAAAATAAAAAAATCGCAAAATACCAAAAAAAAAACTATATTAACATCATTACTGATACCTTTTTATGCGATTTTTTTAGATTTTATACTTTTATGTCAAGAAGGCATCCTAAATTGACAAAATTTGTCAAAATCGGCCCAGCCATTCTTGAGATATAAGCATTCTAACTAACACCCCCTTCCCTTGTATATACACATTGTATATATTTCGCTATATATAACCGATACATTTACTATCGGCATCTACGTAACGGTCGGAATTGACCTGTTCGTCTATTTGTGATTTCGCCGGGGTTAAGAATATTCGCGGTTTAATGGAAAATTTGACTTTTATTTAACACAAATGTTGTGGCCTATTTCACCTACTAAATATTACCCGATGACCATCAAAATTGGAAGGCTTCTGCCCAGCCCTAAGCTCTAGCCCAATGCTAACTTTCGCTTTGAGTGGTCTATAATTGTAGGTAGAGCAACTGCAAAATCAGGAATTTTTTCAGTATTTGGTCCATTTCAACCTCTAAATATTATGTGATCATCTCCAAAAGAAATAGGGTTCTATTTTGACCCTAGCCCCATCTCCATTCTAAATTTCGTGAAGATCGGGCCATAATTGCGACCTGTAGAGTAATTACAAATTAACATGGACAGACGGACAGACGTACGGACGGACGGACGGACATACATAGCTAGATCGACTCAGCTCGGCGAGCTAGGAATATCCATTTATACTTTCCTATGTGGTGTTACATAATTTTTGGCCCAATCAAACTTATAATACCCCCAACATATAGTGTTGTAGGGTATAAAATTTCCGGGTCTTTAATTAAGACTTCACTCATTCGAATGCATAATAATCTCCCAATAACAATTTAGGATTAACTATTCTTATTTCTCTTTATATATATCTTTAATATTACTCAAAATTGTTTTGTTTCCTTCCATTTTTTTAACAGGCACTGTTGGCAACATTGTATCGATCTGCATGGGATTTTCCATGGTGGCACTATTGGAAATATTCTATTTCGTTGTTAAGTATTTATTCATAGCTCTGAAGAGATATGTCACACAAAATGCAAAGCCATCGAAATGGAGGAGGAGATTATCACGCTTGAGCAATGGAAATGAGCCATTGTATATTTGTCCTTGAATGTGTTACATCAAAAATTATGTGTATTTATTAAAAAATAAGTTATATAAATCAACTGCACTTATTCACTTTAAAAAATAAAAATGTTATTGTTTGCACAACACCTTGATAATCTTGTTAATAAAATACTATCGTCCCAATTTGGAATTTCCCAGCCCGATAAATTTACTTCGAGAATGAAAAGAAGTTTAATCATTTGGTGCCTCCAAGAAAAATATATATTCATAACATATATCTATATATATAAAAATCAATTGTTGTTTGTTGGTAACGGAATCAGTTGAAAACGGCTGGACCGACTTGCATAATTTTTTGTACAAACGTTCGTCATACCCCGAGTTAGGTTTTTAAAGAAAAAAATATTGACCACGCCTCCTTTTATGCCCACTATTACGATTTTTCTAAAATCTTTATATTTGCCAAATAAACAAGATATTGGTTTAAAAATTATTACACGAGATACTGTTGACCTTCCCTCCAAACCTAAGTACTTATTTAGGGGCTGAGGAACGCGCCTACTTTTAAATCTATCTCTCTATATGTAAAAGAAAGTTGTGTTAGTTACTACTCTTATAACATAAAGACCGCCGGCCTGATTTTAACGATTTAGACAAATTCGGAATTGTCTCTTGGCAGAAAAGAATAAAATCCAAAAAAAAAACGCCTAAAAATGTGAAATTTGAACATTTTCATTTTGACTTTTAAAATGTACAATAGTAATGTTTTATATTGCATATTTTTTTCCATTTTGACTTACTATTTTCGAATGTACATTTGTAGTGTTTTTTTTTTTTTTTTTTTTTGAATTGTAATATGATGTGTAGGTTTTTTTTGGGTAATATAAAGCCACAACAGATAAAACTGTTATTTATAGATTTTATGTGTTTATTCGTAATACCCAACAAATACATAAAATCTATAAATAACAATTTATCCGTTGTCGCTTTATATGAAAATTCTAGAATCGGGAAAAATCGACAATTTTTCAATGGAATCGAATTTCAAAATAATAGTACATTCTACTGACAAACTTCGTAATCACCTTTAAAAATTTGCCGCAAATAATCAGCGAACCAGTTGAAGATTATTTTTCTTTTTTCTATATTGAAGTGTACATTTTTTTATTGGTTTGATTTCTGAATGAATAATATTAAAAATGACATACGTCGTGCTTCAGCTGGAAGATGCGAACACATTTAAACAAACATTTCAAGTATATTCTACATTTTAACCATATTTTTCGTACTAATTTTAGCTTATGTTGATAATTTAAGAAGAAACCATCTTTGCAAAAAATTATCACTTTTTGGTATCACCATCATATGATTTAAGGTATTTTCGGGGTCTTGGCCACTTTTTTCATTTTTTGGCCCATCTTTGTTTCTAAGAGGGAAGAAACCTTCTTCTTATAAATTTTTATTTTTCGGAAAAGTGCGCATCTTACTCTTGAGGCTACCTGGGGTAAAAAACCCTGGGGTAAAAAATCATCTTACAGATAATTATCCTCATAGGAATTTATTTAACCAACTTCCCAACCAATGTGTGGTCAGAAAAGAAAATTTGGTATTCTATTGAATTTGTAACCCCCATGAGAATATTGGTTGGGAACGTAGATTTGGGATGTACGTCTATATGAAATAAACTCCGAAATGTCAATCTGGGACTCATTCAGTCGGAAATTGTGGCAGAAACATGAAAAAAATACGAAATTATAAAGTAACTTTATTGGATCTACGCCACACAATTTAAATGACAAACAATTAATGCCCATCTTACGGTAATCGGAGAAAAAGAGTAATTTTGTTGGCTATTCTGACAACATTCTGCCTTCAAGTATGAAGTGAACAAAACTGAATACCACGCAGTACGGGATTTTAAACGTTGGAAATACAAATTTCAAATTATAGCTCATTTGAATGCTTTTTACAATATCAAAAATTGAGCTGAATTTTCACATGGGGCTATTATAGATGTTCTTTATCATATAGGTATTTAACACTCAAATTAAAGCCTATAGCTGAAAAATAAGATCAGGCTATTCAAAATATCTAAAACCGACGGTAATTATAATTTTTGCCATGAATATTAATTTATATTTAGTCATTGATTCATTACTCATAATCAAGTCATTACATATAATCAAAATTGGAGTAATTATAATGGCGTCATTACTTATAATCAAAATTGTGCCGCCTACATAAGTCAGATCTGTGATTTATTATGCTTTAAAGACTAAAAGTACGGGCCGGCAACGTGGACCGGGCCAGCTAGTGTATTTATATATTTATTTTCTTAAAAAAAGCTATGCGTTATGGTTTTTGATCCATGGTAAGTGATGGGCTTTCCTACAATTTTATGTAAGTATGTTTATTCCAATGATTTCCAATTTTGAAAAACTATTGCTTTGACGATTCATCTCACAAATATTTTAAGGTAAGATTAGTAGGGGATTCGTAGCCTTTCGCCTACGGTTCTTCCTTTCTTCCGTGTATGCATCACTACGTAGTGCCATAATAAGTTGTTGCACGACAAAGAAAATCACCTCCCCGATGCCAATTAATGAAAATCCAGCTATAACGCCACAAATGCTACCAATGTAACCTGTAAATGAAGGAACATTTTTTAAATTAAATTTAAAAAAAATAACCTTCCTAATTGGTGGTAGGTGTAAATAAAATATCAAATGAATTACTCACTGAATTTTTCAAACCAGGAATTCAACAAGAATCGGCGATAAAACACTCCATTGGTGACACCGAAATAAACATGAAGCACAGCTAAATCGGAATAGTTTTCTTTATGCCTTCTGCAAGGGAAAGAAAGAAAAAAGGTTTTTGATAGGGTGGAGCATAACATTTATTATGTGTTGGGGGTATTATTGGCCAAAAATTATGTAACACCTCGAAATATTGGTTTCCCACACAGGAAAGTATATATGGATCTTCCTATCACGGTGAGCAGAGTCGTTCTAGCTATGTATGTCCGTCTGTCCATGTCAATTTGTAATCAAGCTACACGTCGCAATTATGGCCCGATCCTCACGAAATTTTGCTTGGAGATGGGGTTATGGCCAGAATAGAAGCTAATTACTTTTGTAGAGGATCGGGGTTGAAATGGACCAAAAACTTAAAGTTTTCCTGACATTGCAGTTGCTCTACAGGTCGCAATTATGGACCAATCGATGAGGAAGTTAGCATGGGACTAGAGCTTAGGGCTGGGCAGAAGCCTTCCTATTTGGAAGGTCATCAGGTAATATTAAGTAGGTGAAATAGACCATAACATTTGGACCAATCGATGAGGAAGTTAGCATGGACTAGAGCTTAGGGCTGGGCAGAAGCCTTCCTATTTGGAAGGTCATCAGGTAATATTAAGTAGGTGAAATAGACCATAACATTTGTGTTACATAAAAGTCAAAATTTCCATTAAACCGCGAATATATTTAATTCCGGTGAAATCACGAATAGACGAAAAGGTCAATTCTGTCTAGGTCTGAATATCGGATATATATAGCGAAAAATATACAATGTGTATATACAAAGGAAGGGGAATGGCTGGACCGATTTTGACAAATTTTGTCAATTCAGAATTTCCTCTTGGCATAAAATAATAAAATCTAAAAAATCTCATAAAAATGTGCCAATAATGATGCTAATAAAGACTTTGTAGTATTTTGTGATTTTTTTAAATTTTTTTCAAAATTTTTTTATAGCGTGCGATTTTTTCAATTTGACCTATAACATTGAATTAATATAATTTGTAATATTTTTTCACCTTACAACAAAGGTTGGGGTTATTATATGAAGATTGCAATTATCGTCCGATCATCACGAAAATTTTCATAAGGGCTAGGCCAATTGTTTTCAAAGATGTCCGGGGGTTGAAATGGACCGACAACTAAAAATGTTTCTGATTTTGCAGCCGTTATAAAGGTCAGAAATAGGAACCATAGGACAAGAAATCTCGCATGAAGTTAGAGTTCAGGACAGCGGGTAGAATGGAGCACTACTTTTGTGTGAAAAAAATACCAACATTTCCATTTTACCGAAACCTCGAAAATAACTTACAGGTGAAATCCAAAATACACAATAGGCGACCTTCTGTCTTTTTATACCCTACAGGGTAAAGGAAACGAGATAGACCCATAGTTTCTGATGACGATCTGCATAGATTCACATTCTGAGTCGATTTATGCATGTCCGTCTGTCCGTTCGTCTGTCCATGTATTTTTGTAAACAAAGTACAGGTCGCATTTATTGCCCTAACCGGATGAAATTTTGCGCAAATCATTTATTTGACCCAAGGACGAAGATAATCGGTCAAAATTTAGATATAGCTCCCATATATGTCTTCGTCCGATTTTGTGCACCAAACGTGTAATATCAGAACAAATAGTATGGAATTTTGCACATACTGCCAATTTAGGCCTGAAAATATCGAAAACGGTTCAAATATAGCTATAGCTCCCGTACATACTGTTCATCCGATTTGTTGTTTTTGTCCTCCGCAACCGTAAAATGCACTCTGTTACAACGATATTTGGGGACATATATCAAATATAGCTCAGAAATATCCTTGTTAAATTTTATCGAAATCGGTTCAGATTTGGATATAGCTTCCATATATATCTTCGTCCGATTTGTCTTTTATTTTGCATCAAATGTGTAATATTAGCCCAAATGGGATGGAATTGGGCAGTTACAACCACAATGAGTCAAGAAACAAGTTTGTCAAATTTGGTGAAAATCGGTTCAGATATGGTTATAGCTCTAATATGTAATGTTCATCCGATAAGTTATATGTGTTCTCCACAGCCTTAAGTTATAGTTATATGTGTTTTCCACATTCTGTAACAACGATATTTGGGAAAATATATCAAATACAGCTCAGAAATAGCCTTGCCAAATTTTATCGAAATCGGTTCAGATTTGGATATAGCTTCTATATATATCTTCATCCGATTTGTGTTTTATTGTGGACCAAACATGTAAAATTAGCCCAAAAATTAAAATTAGAATGGAATTTGGCACTTACGACCACAATGAGCCAAGAAACAAGTTTGTCAAATTTGGGGAAAATCGGTTCAGATATAGCTATAGCTCTCATATACAATGTTGATCCGATTTGTTATATGTGTTCTCCACAGTCGTATTATGCACTCCATAACAACGAATATATCAAATACAGCTCAGAAATATATTTGCCAAATTTTATCGAGATCGGTTCGAATTTGGATATAGCTCCCGCATATATCTTTGTCCGATTTCAAGTTAACTGTGCATCAAATGGGTAATACAAGCCCGAATCAAAAAGTCAAAAATGCCTCGTAAAATTCAGAGGAGGACATTCATCTCATATATTAGTTCTTTTGAACTTTAAAGAATAACTATAATTAAAGCTGGTATGATTTAATTCTCACAAATTCCCCATAAAAACATTTATTTGTCATGTGAAGTTCTACTAATTATGCAAAGTGGTGTAGGGTATCATAACTTTAAGTCATTCTTTACTGGTTTATGTTGATTGCGTTGACGAATATGAGAAGAGAGTTTGGGACAGGATGACCATTGTATTATATTTAACTTTAAAATGGACAACAACAACTAGCAGCACGAGGGAGTGCTTCAATATTGGGCAAATGTCCCTTGTCAAATGACCCCTAGGGTACATCTAGGCAGTGCTATATGACATAATTTCAAAAAGCGAAATCTTCCAAAATGATTTGGTCATAAGGGGGCTTCTGACATATTGTAGGGTTGTAGGGTGTCACATGGTCGGCCCCGCACGGCTATAGCCTTTGCTTACTTGTTTTCTTATATAATATCTTCTGTAGAAATCTTCCCTTTTAAATGAAATTTTATTTACGTGTCTTTTGTCACATCTCCACTCCACCACTCTCTCAACCCGCCACCATACTTACGGAAATGATTTCATATTAAATTTATTCAATGGTAAATCCATTACTGTGACCGTGTATTGTGTTTCACTACAGGTGGGTAGACAATATGGACAATACAATGAGTCCTCCATTTCGCGATCCAGGCCAACGGTGTTTGGGCGCTGAGTCATAACATTATACCATTTAACTGGAAAGCAAGAGAAAAAAACCAAACAGAAGAGTATGTCAGCAAGATATAAGATCTCCTCTTAAGATGCCATTAAGGATGTTATTATTCTCAATGTTCAGACGACAACAACAACAACAACAACGATATTGTATAGTTTCACTCACAATCATAACGCATCAGACACCCACGATGCTGCAGGGTGCAGAAAGCGGTAGATGATGAAATATTCAAACTGTTCGCCATAAAGGGTAGACATTCACACAACACCACCTGACTGCGTGTCCGACAATAGGAGATGCAATTACTGTAGGTATATGATTTTCCGAATACATCGGGTAGTTCATCGTTGAACATGCAATTGCGCTGCAGGGAAAATCAAAGAGATTTGGGTGAATATCTGTCAGTTAACAAATTAGAAAAAATACACCCACCACTTTAGGTTTGTAATAGCGAACTTCATCGATCGTTTGAAAAATTCGCGGCTTTAAGGCCAGAAAAGTGTTTTTTCCTCCTTCCACAATTCGGACTTCTACACTACCGGAAGAGGGATCAGGGGCGGTGTGGGAACTGTGGATGAAAACCTAATGGAAATAGTGGTTATTATATTTTTTATGAATATGTGGAAGTGGCCTATTGTCAATCTCTTCCATAAATGTATGTTCGTATGCGTGTCATACCCACCTCAAATCTCTCCGATGTAACGGACGGTATAAAATCATCCTTTTGCGATGCATTCAGTAGAACTACCAATCCCATATCTGGTCCAAGAAAACGATGACGAAATTTACGTTTCGCTGAGTATCTAAATCGGTAGAAGAGGCAAGTGGACATTTGTAAGTATTGTTACTTTGCATTACAAGTTTTTATTATGGTATGTAGGTTTGTGTATGACAAACACAATATTGTGACAAGTAGTTTTTGGAAAATAGTACTGAGAGGAAAGAGAAGTACTTAATACTGATATTCGGGGAAGGGCTGGGTTCTGTAATTTGAAATATTTTAAAGGGTAATTTTTAATCCCTACACCACTTAGTGGTAAGGGTATTATGTCTTTGAGCATTTGTTTGTAACAGGTAGAAAGTAGCGAGATAGACCCATAGCTACTTTTGCGGATCTTCATAGAATCACTTTTTGAGTCGATTTCTGCATGTCAGTCTGTCTGACCGTCCGTCCATGTATTCTTGCAGGTCGCATTTATTATGCCATTGAGATGAAATTTTGCAACCAATATTTGTTTGGACCAAGGACGAACCCTATTAGTGATGATCCGATATATCTTCAACCGCTTTCGGGTAAATTGCGCACCTAATGGCTAATATAAGTCTAAATGACCTGTATTTTGGTACATCCCACCGAATTCAGTCTAGAAGCAAATAAATCAAATTTGGAGACAATCGGTTCAGATATAGCTTTAGCTCCCAAATATATGTTTCATCCGATTTGGGGTTTTAAGTCCCTCACATGCGTGGCCTGCACTCCAGAAGAATGATATTTGGTACCAGATATCAGATACAGCTCCGAAATAAGTGTATCAAATTTTGTCAAAATCGGTTCAGATATAGCTATAGCCCCCATATATATACAATTCATCTGATTTGGTGTTTAAGTCCTTCACATTCGTAATCCCCATCCTGCACTCCGCTAGAAATGTTAATTTAAAATTTCATGATTTCAGTTTCATCCGTTCCTCCAAATTCAAGTTTTACTAAATTTAGTACCGTCTAGTACTTTTCGTATACATGAGTACACACTTCCAAAACTACATCCTAACATCGACTCTACTCCTCTTTAGCTCTTACCGTTCACATGATACAAAATGGTACCAAATTTAGTATATTTAAGTTGTTTTTTCGTACACTTATGGTGCGAATTTCAAAAAATCCTTGGGTACAACTATCATGTACTCCATCATTGACCCTCACTCTAAATTTGAGAGTTCTAGCTTTACTGCTTCCTCAAATACAAAGAGTACAATATTTAGTACCTTTTAATACTTTTCGTACTGTTCTATTACGAATTTTCAATAACCCAACCATATCTGACCCCTTCGGACCAAGAGTGACATTCACCCAAAATTTTAAGATTCTAGCTTCAACCGTTTCGTGTGGTTTCGTTAATTTTCCAAGTCGATTTAGTGATGCTCGCCTATTTGAGTGTGCGTGTGTCTGCCATACCATACTATGGAGGGTATATTAACTTTGTCATTCCGTTTGTAACTCCTCGAAATACTCATGTCAGACCCAACAAAGTATATACATTCTTGATCAGCGTAAAATTCTAAGTCGATTTAGCGATGTCCATCTGTCTGTCTGTCTGTCCGTCTGTCTGTCTGTCTGTCTGTCTGTCCGTCTGTCTGTTGTAATCACGCTATCTTTCGAATAAATTGAGATAGATGGCTAAAATTTTGCACACATGTTTATTTTTCCAGTAGGCAGGTTAAGTTCGTAAATGGGCCATGTAGGTCCACGTTTTCATATAGCTCCCATATAACGGTACCTCCGGATTTTCGGTATTTTGATGATTTTAGCGACGTTATTCACCGGAATTGATTCAAATTTGGTATTTGAAGTTCCAAATGGATACTACACCCTAAGATAGAAAATTGTCTGTGCAAGTCTATGTCTTCGTATAGCCCCCATATAACGGTACCTCCCGATATTCGGTATTTCGATGATTTTAGCGACATTATTCACGGGAATTGTTTCAAATCTGGTATTTGAAGTTCCAAATGGATACTACACCCTAAGACAGAAAATTGTCTTTGCAGGTCCACGTCCTCGTATAGCCCCAATATAACAGTACCTCCCTATATTCGGTATTTTGATGATTTTAGCGACATTATTCACTGGAATTGTTTCAAATTTGGTATTTTAAGTTCCAAATGGATTCTACACCCTAAGACTGAAAATTGTCTGTGCAGGTCCACGTCTTCGTATAGCCCCCATATAACGTCACCTCGCTATGTTCGGTATTTTGATGATTTTAGCGACATTATTAACCGGAATTGTTTAAAATTTGATATTTGAAGTTCGTTATGGGAACTACAGTCTGTGACAGAAAATTGTCGGTGCGGGTCCAGTTTCGAATTTGAATATGGTAATGGTTTATGACAAACAATGCATATGTATGTCCACGTCGTATAGACCCCAACATAACGGCTATATTCGGTATTTTTAAAATTTTAACAGAATTTTTTAAGGATTTTATTTTTTGAAAATTTCCAAATTCGTTGTAAATGGTGGAGGGTATTAAAAGTTCGGCCCGGCCGAACTTACTGCTTTTTAACTTGTTTAACTTTCATATATCTCTTAAAAAATCACCCTTTATATGGGAGATTTTCAAAATCTCCTGTTTTTTGATAATTGTTAGAGTCTACTCACTTTCTATTCCGATTAAATGTACAGCATAGACCTCGTGCGGTAAATGTTTCAGTGAATTCACGAAGACAGTCGGCGTCTTCACCACCCAAGCGGCATACTTTCAAAATGCTACTGCAATTTGGAGTCAGCTGCAAAGAAGGTTGTAATAAGAAATTTCTACCTTTTTTAGCCAATACCCAACTTATACCATGGCCATTCGTCGCCTTGTATTAAAGAACAGCTCATCGTCCTTCCGGTCATAGATATCGAGAAAACGTTGAAATTTCAATGCCTTCTCATAATCGGGCATTTCACCAGGTTCATAGTAATTGTATTGCAAATATTTAATTTGCCCGTAGAAATATTCCGCGCTGCGTTTTCGGGGATCTTTGCGTTGGCTGTTGATTAAATTTGGATGAACAAAAGAATTTCATTGGGCAGGGGAAAACAAAAGCCGCCACCCCACCCAAAAAAACGGTTGGCAAAAACTTACAGTTCTCGGGCATACAGCTTGGCCGATTCATTCGATATGCGATTCATTGAACAAATCGATACAGCCGGAAATGAGACTTCACTTATGGGATATATGGGATTGTAAATGGAGGTGGTCAGCAGTCGTTGGTCAGTATTGTGGTAATTCGTAAGGAAAATAATTAGTGCCGACATTGCCAGGATATGAAAAGCAAGCCAAAATAGTCTGCATTCATGTAGATAAATACATATGTAGATGTATTTTCATGTGGACGTTGGGTGTGGGGAGAAACAGAAATGTTGATTTGAGTCACTGTTCAATGGAGTGCGGAGATTTATTTTAGAAAGGTCAGCTAATAGCGGTGTTGTATTGACATTCCAGCTAATTACGCAGCTTTTTTGGGGTGGATCATTGAGTGGGAGAGCATGAGTATGACATCCTATTGTTCACATGCTAAACAGTGGATATGTTTAAAAGCAATCAAATTCCGTACTGCAAATTGGAAAATGTAGCTCTCTTTCATCTTAACATAATGGAGATATATTCCCTCTCAGAATGTCTACACCAAGACAGATTCCATTCTATTGTATTCGTCATTCATTGGAATCGAGCTGAATTGGCTCGCCGTTCTATATCGATAGAAACTTCCTTTAGGTCGTCTATAGAAAGATTCTCTTCAACTCCCCATATCGAGAGAGACCTCCTTTAAGCTCATAGGAATCGTGGAAGACTTCCTATATTCAGAAAGCTTATTTTCAACTAGTTTATATCGCTTTAGATCGTTTATATGAAAAGAATCAATTTTTATCATTTCGTTTATATAGAGGTGGGCAATCTCTCTTAGCTCGTCAATATCGAAAATCACCTTCCCTCAACATATTTAAGTCGATCGACCATGCCGAGAGGAACTTAGACTCAGTCAATTTGAATTTCGAGAGTGAGAAAGAGATCCCGCTTAGCTCGTTTATATAGAGAGAAATATTTACTTTAAGCTGAAAACCTCTTTTTAACACATCTATATTTTCGTAGACTTTCCCTTGACTCATTCATATCGAAAAACAAGTAAGCAAAGGCTATAGTCGTGCGGGGCCGACCATGTGATACCCTACAACACTACAACATGTTAGAAGGCCCCTTATGTCCAAATCCATTTTGGAAGATTTCGCTTTTGAAATTATGTCACGGAGCACTGCCCACATATTACCCTTAGCGTTTTGACCAGGAATATTTTTCCAATATTTACGCAATTCATCGTGCTGTTAGTTGCTGTGGTCCATTTTACAGCTAAATATAATCCAGTGGTCATCCAAAATGCTAGACTTATTCCCTGTCCTTAACTCTCTTCTCAGGCGTGTTTATTGGCTTCAATTGTTTGATCAGGAAATTTTATAATTTTTGGTTCATTTGAACCCTTAAATATTTTGCGATCATTTCCAAAATTATCGGTCCTCTCTGTATTCCAAATTTACACTCATCTATATGATTTACTTGTCTACGATATATGGCTATATTCGTCAACTTCGGATATCAAACATAGTGGTCCATACCACCCACTGTCCTAAAATCTAACTTCATGCGAGATTTCGTGCTCTTTGGTTTCTATTTGTGACCTTTATAACGGCTACAAAATTAGGAACATTTTTAGTTGTTGGTCCATTTCAACGCTTAAATATATTGCGGACATATTTGAAAACAATAGACCTAGCCCTTCTGGGCCTTATAATAATAATGAGGTGTATATTTTGTAATATTTTTACACCTTACAACACAGGTTGGGTCATTATATACATATTGCAATTATCGTCCCATCCTCACGAAAATTTTCACAAGGGAATGCCCTTGCGTTTGGCCCAATCAAACTTATAATACCCCCAACACATAGGGTTGTAGGGTATAAAACCTCTTCTAGATCTTCAATGTCGATATAGAATCTCCTCTTTCTCTTTATGGGGAAAAAAACCGCGATAGATTTCCTCTCAGCTAATTTGAATCGAGAGAGATATTTCCTTTCAGGTAGTATACATCGAGAGAAGGATTATTTTTAGCTCATATACGTCGAGAGAGACTTTCTTGTCGCTCGTCTTTTTCGAGAGAGTCTCTTTTTCATTCGATTACATTGGCATATCAAAAAAGACTCTTTTCGGCACATCCATATATAGAGATATAGAGTTCCTTTATATAAATGTCGATAATCCCGTCAATATCGAGAGTGAATTCCTTTTAGTTCATTGGGAGTGAGGGAGACTCTATTACAACTCTTCTACATCGAGAAAGAGCTTGAGTATACATTGAGAGGGACTCCTTTTGTGTTCATCTACATCGAGAGAGGGATAGACTTACTTCCCGCTGGTCAGCTCCAATATAACGATCTAGGGTTTTTAACAAAATTGGGAGAGTGAATCCATGTGGATTTTCTTTTTATTAAAAAGAGTTTAAAAAAGTTTTTAATTCCGCTTGTCAATATCGGGAGAGACTTTCCTTTAATTCTTCTATATTGAGAGAAAGTGACTAATTTTCAACATCGAGAGAGACTCTCTTTCAACTCGAATTGTCGAGAGGGACTTTATCTCGTCTGTTCTTTGTTCTGTTCTCTTTTATATCTAAAGAAAACATTTTTCAGAGATCTATAGGTGAGATAAAAAACTCCAACCAACCAACGACAGCTGTTAAAATAATTCCAGTGATAGCTCATTATATTCTTTACAAGCGTACAAAAGCATTTTGGTGAGATTTTTCTTGAAAAAAAGTATTTGGCTGGAAAATCACAAGTAGCTGTCGTTAGAGCACTCCAAAAGACCTAAAGAGTTGCTTCGCTTGGCCGAAAGTGGTGAACTGCCGAATTTGGTTTTCTCCGATTAGAAAACATCCGTTGTCCATCAGTTTGTAAACAAACAAAATGATCGTGTTTACTTGTCAAAGAGATCAGCTGAAAATGTGCACCTTCGTTTGAAACTTATTAGAACTTAAGCGCCGGCTATGGTGATGGTGTGGGCCGCCATAACATCCGATGGTCGCTCTCCGCTCGTATTAATCGACCGTGGCATAAAAATAAATTCCGAATTTTATCGTAATATTATCGTATGCAAGCTTTGGGCACCCAAACATTTTGGCCGCAGGTCTTGGGCATTCAAACAATATTCAGCACCAGCGCACAATGGCCACCAAAATCTCCGGATACCAAAAAATACCAAAATGTCGATCACCTCAAGCAAACGCTTCGCCGGGAATGGGCCAAAATACCGCAGAGCAACATTCGGGCAACGTGTGACGGTTTTATTGGCCGTTTAAAGGCCATAATTCATGCCAAATGTGACCAATTCGAACAAATCTAAATTTATTCTAAAATTTGATGCTACTTCCAACATTTCTTGCTTTCATTCAATAACATTAAAAAAAATAAAATTATGGCGTTTGACTTTGTTGCAGTTTTTTTTATCTCACCCTGTATATTCTTGATCAGCGTAAAATTCTAAGACGATTCCGTCCGTCTGTTGCAATCACGATACAGTCGAAGCTAACATTTTGCTAACTAACATTTGCACAGATCTGTCTGTTGTCTGCAGGCAAGTCAAGTTCGAAGATGGGCTATATCGGTCCACGATATCGTATAGCCCCCCATATAACGGTACCCTCGATATTCTGTATTTTAATGATTTTAGCCACATTTTTCAATGGAATTATCTGAAATTCTGCACAAGGAGTTCTTTATGAGTTCTTTACCCCCTGAAAGTGAAGATGGGCTATATATTTCCATGATATCGTATAGTCCCCATATAACGGCACCTCCCGATATTCGGTTATTTTTATGATTTTTTCACAATTTTCAACGGAATTGTCTGAAAATCAAAAAGAGGAGTTCCGATTTTGCGATTTTTGCGATGTTATTCACCGGAATTGTTTCAAATGTCGTATGACACAAATTACTTATGCTGGACCACTTCTTCGTATAGCCCCCATATAACGGTTTTCATTTGAGCGGTATTTTCCCACGGAATTTTTTTTGGAAATTTTTCAAGTTTCTTCCAAATGGTGGAGGGTCGGCCCGGTCCCGGCCAAACCTTACTGCTTTTTTATTTGTTGCCGTATTAAATGACATATACCCTCTGTAGCCATATGGCTGAAGGTATAAAAATAACATCCATGATATAATTCCCATAATACAACACCGCCTTGCACCCACTTTGCACACTGCTTTCAGTTTGTACTTGAATTCCCCACCATCATGGCCACCTACTTTTCTTGGCAAGGTCTACCCGGCTCAACTAATTTCCCGTAACTGTGAAATGAGAAATTCTGCAAAAATACTTTCAATGCTTCGGCGAATGTAAAATTTCGCGTTTGGCTGCCCGCCATTGTTGCGGCGACTGGTGATGGTATCCACCATGGAGCACGACCCATCACAAGTGTAACATCCGTTTCCTTTGGCGGGCATTGCTGCTCTTCGGTCTGCTGCTGCTGCTGTTGTTGTTGTTGTTTTGGTGGCAGTGATGGTTTGATACGACTCTTGGTTCGATTGAACGGATGATGGCCATGTTGGTTTTGGCTTACCAAAGGATATGTTTTCATGTTTATTAAGTCGTCGTGGTAGTTGTAGTGGTGGTCTTGTCGATGTGTTGTTGTTCACTTGCCCTCCAAACTCTTTTTTTGGCCTATTGGGATCAGCAATAATAACTGCTTCTGCTGGCTGTGTTGTTATTGCTGTTGGTTGATATTGTTTTGATACTGAAATTGATTCGTGAAGGCAAACAGTATCGATGCTTGAATTTATCTATCCGCGAGTAACAATAACTTGCAACTGACGTTGACTTTGTAGCAAACAATTGGCTTTTATAGTCAGGGTAAATGTGAGTGAGTGTGTGTTCGGATGGGGGGTAACATTTACATACACTTGTGTGGTACATGTATTAGAATGGGTCGTCGATACGTTTAGTTTGTCCTAACCTTGCAAGAAAAAAGGCAAATTTTAGCTCAGGAGGCTTTAAATGCCTTCCGAGATAAAAATATGGTTTAACATTAAAAAATGTTAACCAACGAAGGACATGTTTGAATAAATACTTTTAATGCTCGTTACAGGACTCCGATGATGAAATAATACCACAAAATAAGAGCAACTTAAAGATATGTTCTCTGCCAAAGTCTCTTTATTTGTAGTAAAGGTTATACTCATTAATAGCAGACCCCCTGTGGTAGTCAGCCTTCCTCCCTTCTCAGAATTTCAAACTGACGACATTTTTTATTACAGTTCCCGTAAAAAAGAACCACAAATAATTTTCTGTAATACAAATCATTAATTTAATTTTCTGATTTTTCTTATCCCTCCGTCGACCCACATTACTGTCCTGATGCGTAGATAATTGTTAATGCCTTAAACACAGAAAATTCATGTAAGTCAATTTACATACTTGCTGGGTATATCTGCATTTCATCGAGCAGTTTTACTTTGGGCAAGGGGTTGCTGTATTCATACTCATTACTGTAATGGGTTGTGAGAGTTTCAATTATTGAATATTTTAAAGAAGCATACTTTTAGGTAAACAGGTGAGAGTAACAGGAAATGGGGAGTATTTAAGGTTTACTCATTGAAACGGACTTTTGTGGATGCTACAATTACAATAGCAGTTTTCCCACAAATATGTAACGTCTTTTGGATATATGGAAATTTAATTCTTTGTATTGGACAAACGGAATAAGATAGAATTCTGAAATTTGAAAAAAGAGTTACTGATGCAGGTTCAGAATGAATGTGCCAAAGGGTTTTGTGCAAATTCAAACTTTAAGGATACGAAAACTTCTAAAATGGTACTAAACTTATAAAATATCACCATTTGGCATTATTTGAATGGGAAGAGCTAAAAACTTGACATTTGGTATAAGAACCAGGGTTGGAAAGTAAGTTTGGTATATGAAAGTGGCTTGGAAATGTAACAAGTAAAAAAGCTGTAAGTGCGACCGGGCCGAACTTTGAATACCCTTCACCATTTTGAACGAATTTAGCAATTCTCAAAAACTTTCTATTAAAATCTTAAAAATACCGAACGTATCTTGGTCTATGCGACGACATGGACCTCCATAGGTAACTAATAAGACGAAATAAGCCATTACAATATTCAAATGCGAAACTTAAAAAAACGGTGAATAATGTAGCCAAAATCATTAAAATTACGAATATAGGGAGTTTCCGTTATATGGGGGCTATACGAAGACGTAGACCTGCACTGATGATTTTCTGTCTTAGGCTGTGGTATTCATTACGAACTTCAAATACCAAATTTGAAAGAATTCCGGCGAATAATGTTGCTAAAATCATCCAAATGCCGAATATCGGGAGGTATCGTTATATGGGGCTATATAAAGACGTAGACCTGCACAGAAAATTTTCTGTAATAGACTGTAGTATTCATTACAAACTTCAAATACCAAATTTGAAAAAAAAAAAATTCGTTGAATAATGTCGCTAAATCATAAAAATACCGAATATCGGGAGGTACCGTTGTATGGGGGATATACCAAAACTTTGACCTACATTTGCAATATTCCAAAAATCCTGCAGACATATTATACATTAGAATAAAATTTTATGAATCTACTTCATTTCGTTCGGAAGCTAGAGTGATTTCCACAGACGGATAGACGGACGGCCATCGCTAAATCGACATAGAATTTTATGCTGATCAAGAATATAAATACTTTCTGGGGTCTAAAAAAAATAAAACTTGATATACCCTCTATACCATGGTGGAATGTAGAAAAAGGGTACTAAATGGTACGAAATTTGGGCAGGTTGGTTTGGGGTGAACGGATGAAGCTGGAATTTTGAAATTTTGTATCAGTGTACCAGTTGGTGGTTGGTTTGTGATAACAGGATATTTTGGAAATGGGTACTACAAGTGTACGGAAAGTACTAAATAGTACTATATTTGGTACAATTTGGTATTGAGCGGACAGACAGTGCTTAAAATATAAACAAAATCTGAAATTTGTTATTAGGGTCGCTGTTTATGTGTGTAGCCTGGACATATGGAGATGGTTTAACAAATATGTACCATAATTGTACCAAAAGTACTAAACATTTGGAACCGTTGGTTAAACGGATGAAGCTGGAATTTTGAAATTTTGGTGGTCCAATTGGTGGTTGGTTTGTGATAAAAGGATATTTTGAAAATAAGTACTACAAGTGCACGACAAATACTAAATATTACTATGTTTGGTACAATTTGGTATTGGGTGGTATCTGTGCTTAAAATCTAAAATTTAGCATTAAGGTGTTGTGTAACCTGCACATGTGTACTATAATTGTACGAAAAGTACTAAGTGGCTAGTTGGTGAAGGGATAGAATTGGAATTCCGAAACTTGATATTGACATCTCCGTTGGTATCAGGGATTGTGGTGTTGAAAATGTGTACCCTGCAATCCTCAAATTTCATATTGAGGTCTCTAACTGAGATTTTGAGTGGAGTAGAGCTGGAATATCGGAATTTGACATTGAGGTCTCTTCTCGTATCTGGGATTGAGATATAGAGGTGGTTTTGGAAATGTACTATAATTGTACGAAAGGTACTAAATTTGGTATAAGATGAAAGAATAGAGCTGAAATCCTGAAGTTTGATATAGATGTCACTGTTGGTGTATGTGGTTGAGATATGGAAGTGGTTTGGAAAATGTGTACTATAATTGTAGGAAATGTACTAAATAGTACTAAAGTTGGCATGAGGGGAAGGAATTAAGCTGAAATGTGATATAAATGTCTCTGTTGATATCTGTGGTTAAGATATGGAGGTGATTGTGAAAATGCGTACTATAATTGTATGGAAAGTACTAAGTGGTACTAAGTTGGGTATTTGGTGAAGGGATAGAGCTGGAATCCCGAAATTTGATATTGAGGTCTCTGTTAGAATCTGGTTTTGGAAATGTGTAATAATTGTACGGAAAGTACTAAAATGTACTAAATTTAGTGTTAGATGAAGAATAGAACTGAAATCCGGAAATTTGATATAGATGTCTCTGTTGGTGTTGGTTGGAAATGGGTGCAGATTGTAATTCTTGTTTTCGGGGCATAGAAAGTGTGTTTTTATTCAAATGTCTAACTTGGAAAATTGATTTTTTTTTGCCTCAAAAACATGTATTCGGTTCGTACAGAGTGAGATGAAAAAATTGCAACCAAATTTAGACTGCTGTTATTTCTAAGCCACTTGTCCGACAACTGTTAAAATTATTCAGGTGACAGCTCATTATATTGTTTACAAGGGTACAAATGCATTTTAGTAAGAATTTTCCAGAAAAAAGTTATCCGTGAAGGAATTCCGAATTCGGTTTTCTGATGATCGTGATCGTGTTTACTTGCCAAAGAGGTCAGCTGAAAATGTGCACATTCGGTTGGCCACCAGAACACAAGCGCCGGCCATGGTGATGGTGTTAGACGCCATAAATGATAATGGTCGCTCTCCGCTCGAATTAATCGACCGTGGCATCAAAATAAATGCGGAATATTATTGCAACAAAATTCTGGAGGGTGTATTAAAGCCTTGGGCACGCAAACATTTTGGCCGCAGACCTTGGACAACAGGATTCCAACAGAACTCAGCACCATCGCACTCAGCACGGGCCACCCAAGAATGGTTTCAAAATTAGGTTCCTCGCTTCATTTCCAACTCACAATGGCCACCAAAATCTTCGAATACCAATCCGTTGGACTATTGTGTCTGGAATATTTTAGAAAGCAAGGTTGGCACTAGAAAATACCAAAATATCGATCACCTCAAGCAAGCGCTTCGACGGGAATGGACCAAAATACCGCAGAGCAACATTCGGGCAGTGTGTGTCGGTTTCATTGACCGTTTGAAGGCCATAATTCGTGCCAAAGGTGACCAATTCGAACAAATCTAAACTTATTCTAAAATTTGATGCTATTTCCGAAATTTTATGCTTTCATTCAATAAAATTAAAAAAAAATGTAGTGCGATTTATGAAGTTGTGATTAGAAAATATACCAAGAAGGCCTATGACGAACTGTTTGAACGAATCTAAAATTTTAAGGTGGACTTTTCGCTGACCATTTAGCCCACCTTTTCAGCCCCCTGGCCTGTGGGACACGGTCAAAAACTGAGGATTTAATTTGGATTTTCTAGACTCCTAAAATTTCTTCTTATTTAACGGCACTTATCTACTTTTTTTAAAGAAACGTTCCACTATTTCTACTTTGCTTATTATAGGGTACAATATATTAACTAGCATTATCCTGCCTTTCCACGATAATTATTGTCAAATTGACAATCACTGATTCTGGTTTTTGATATTTCTCTTGCAATTGACTTCGTGGGGTACAATTGTTACAATTTAACTCGACAAGGTACCATATTGACGATACACACATATTAACGTGGAGGATTTGGTGGATAAATATTGGGGATACAAGGAATACCTAATTGCATTGACATACGCCAGAGGATACAAAAAACATCGTTACGTTTATTGTCATCTCATTAACGGCAACATGTCAGACATTAACTCGTACAATTAGCAATTAGCTATTGTTAAAATTCCGTACCAAAAAGGTGGGGATGGGGGGAGGCATGGAAGTAATTTAGGAAATTAGAGGTATGGGCAAACAGTATGGAGTATAAAGTTTGAACATTTTGCAGTAAGAGGCCGTCTCTCTCTCTACGGAATCTCTTCAATCTATAGAATAGATATAAAAGATCTTACTTCCACAGATGGTCTTCTATAGAGGACCTGTAGAACACATTCTATCTTTATGAGATCTATGGAAGTTCGAAAAATGAGGA